CCCCAATCCACCCTCTCCCCTCTTCAATCCCCAATCCACCCTCTCCCCTCTTCAATCCCAATCCACCCTCTCCCCTCTTCAATCCCCAATCCACCCTCTCCCTCTTCAATCCCCAATCCACCCTCTCCCCTCTTCAATCCCCAATCCACCCTCTCCCCTCTTCAATCCCCATCCACCCTCTCCCTCTTCAATCCCCAATCCACCCTCTCCCCTCTTCATCCCCAATCCACCCTCTCCCCTCTTCAATCCCAATCCACCCTCGCCCCTCTTCAATCCCCAATCCACCCTCTCCCCTCTTCATCCCCAAATCCACCCTCTCCCCTCTTCAATCCCCATCCCACCTCCCCTCTTCAATCCCCAATCCACCCCTCCCCTCTTCAATCCCCAATCCACCCTCTCCCCTCTTAATCCCCAATCCACCCTCTCCCCCTCTTCAATCCCCAATCCACCCTCTCCCCTCTTCAATCCCCAATCCACCCTCTCCCCTCTCAATCCCCAATCCACCCTCGCCCCTCTTCAATCCCCAATCCACCCTCTCCCCTCTTCAATCCCCAATCCACCTCTCCCCCCTCTTCAATCCCCAATCCACCCTCTCCCCTCTTCAATCCCCAATCAACCCTCTCCCCTCTTCAATCCCAATCCACCCTCTCCCCTCTTCAATCCCCAATCCACCCTCTCCCCTCTTCAATCCCCAATCCACCCTCTCCCTCTTCAATCCCCATCCACCCTCTCCCTCTTCAATCCCCAATCCACCCTCTCCCCTCTTCAATCCCCAATCCACCCTCTCCCCTCTTCAATCCCCAATCCCACCTTCCCCTCTTCAATCCCCAATCCACCCTCTCCCCTCTTCAATCCCCAATCCACCCTCTCCCCTCTTCAATCCCCAATCCACCCTCTCCCCTCTTCAATCCCCAATCCACCCTCTCCCCTCTTCAATCCCCAATCCACCCTCTCCCTCTTCAATCCCCATCCACCCTCTCCCCTCTTCAATCCCCAATCCACCCTCTCCCCTCTTCAATCCCCAATCCACCCTCTCCCCTCTTCAATCCCCAATCCACCCTCTCCCCTCTTCAATCCCAATCCACCCTCTCCCCCTTCAATCCCCAATCCACCCTCTCCCCTCTTCAATCCCCAATCCACCCTCTCCCCTCTTCAATCCCAATCCACCCTCTCCCCTCTTCAATCCCCAATCCACCCTCTCCCCTCTTCAATCCCAATCCACCCTCTCCCCTCTTCAATCCCCAATCCACCCTCTCCCCTCTTCAATCCCCAATCCACCCTCTCCCCTCTTCAATCCCCAATCCACCCTCTCCCCTCTTCAATCCCCAATCCACCCTCTCCCCTCTTCAATCCCCAATCCACCCCTCTCCCCCCTTCAATCCCAATCCACCCTCTCCCCTCTTCAATCCCCAATCCACCCTCTCCCCTCTTCAATCCCCAATCCACCCTCTCCCCTCTTCAATCCCCAATCCACCCTCTCCCCTCTTCAATCCCAATCCACCCTCTCCCCTCTTCAATCCCCAATCCACCCTCTCCCCTCTTCAATCCCCAATCCACCCTCTCCCCTCTTCAATCCCCAATCCACCCTCTCCCCTCTTCAACCCAATCCACCCTCTCCCCTCTTCAATCCCCAATCCACCCTCTCCCCTCTTCAATCCCCAATCCACCCTCTCCCCTCTTCAATCCCCAATCCACCCTCTCCCCTCTTCAATCCCCAATCCACCCTCCCCTCTTCAATCCCCAATCCACCCTCTCCCCTCTTCAATCCCCAATCCACCCTCTCCCCTCTTCAATCCCCAATCCACCCTCTCCCCTCTTCAATCCCCAATCCACCCTCTCCCCTCTTCAATCCCCCCTACACCTCCACCCACCTGCCCCTGGTCGAGGATCTTCTTGAACATCTCCACACCAGTCACTGTTGTCACTCCATCCCACCCACACCCCCCTTCATCCCCCTTTACCTCCCTTCACCACCCTTCACCACCCAACACCCACCTGCCCCTGGTCGAGGATCTTCTTGAACATCTCCACGCCAGTCACTGTTGTCTTGGTGGGATTGCCCGCCTGGTGGGGGGAGATGGTGGTGGGGGGAGAGGAGCAGGGGGAAAGGGACGGGAAGAAGGGGACAGGGGGGAGGAAGAGGGTAAAGAAAAGGAACGTCTTGAACATCTCCACACCCGTCACTGTTGTCTCTGTTTCTTGAGGCGCCTCAAAAGTTGGTTTCTTGAGGCGCCTCAAAAGACGTCTTGAACATCTCCACACCCGTCACTGTCGTCTTGGTGGGATTGCCCGCCTGGTGGGGGGAGATGGTGGTGGGGGACAAGGTTTGCAGGGGAGGCAGGGGGGTGGAGGTGAGGGACGAGGGAGAAGGGAGAAGGAGGGGAATTGGGGGCATGTGGGGGGGGGGGGGGGGGGGGGGGGTATGAAATGGGCTGACAAGCACAGTGCAAGCAGCAGGAATCGACTTTTGAGGCGCCTCAAAAGTCAATCAAAGTGAGCGGTTTGAAAGCATTTAAGCAGCAGGAATCGGACCCAAATTATTCGACAGAGAAGCAACACACCAACTCTTGCAGCAATCTATCTCTCTCTCCCCACTCGTCTCTCAACCTAAACCATCCCCCAACCTCCCTTCCGCCTTTCCCTCTTTCTGCCTCTCCCCGTCCTTACCCACTCCCCCTCTCGCATCCACCCCAGCATCCCCATGCGCACCTTCATGCCCACGATCTCGATTTCATCGCCCACTTTGATGATCCCCTGCTCCACACGCCCCGTCACCACTGTGCCTCGACCCTGCACAGGGGCATGACGAAGGGGAGGCACGTAGGGACAAGCGGGAAGAGAAAGAAAAGAAGGCTTCTGCCCACATAGGAGGCTTCTGAGTCGACTCAACGAACCCCCCGCTCCACGCGCTCCGTCACCACTGTGCCTCGACCCTGCATGGAGCCTGAGGAAGGGAGAAAGGGGGAAAGAGAGGGTCCTGAATGGAGAGGACATTCCCAACGGGCATGAGGAGAAGCTTATGAAGCGAAAGTTGCGGCTCATAAGCTTGAGCTCATTAAACTCAGGGATGTTTTCGTCCACTGCTGCCATAAGCTTGAGCTCATGAGCTTGAGCTCATTAAACTCACGTCACATGACACGCCCACCTAGATGGAGAACACGTCTTCAATGGGCACGAGGAATGGCTTGTCCAATGATTGCCGCAGTTCAGAAATACACTCGCCCACTGCCGCCATGAGCTTGAGCTCATTAACCTCACATCACATGACACGCCCACCTAGATGGAGAACACGTCTTCAATGGGCACGAGGAATGGCTTGTCCAATGATTGCCGCAGTTCAGAAATACACTCGCCCACTGCCGCCATGAGCTTGAGCACCGCCTGCTGCTTGCAGTGCTGCACTCACCACTCACTCCACTCACTCCCCTCACTCCCCTCACTCCCCTCACTCCACTCACTCCCCTCACTCCCCTCACTCCCCTCACTCCACTCACTCCCCTCACTCCCCTCACTCCCCTCACTCCCCTCAATCCACTCACTCCACTCACTTCGCTGCTTGCAGTGCTGCACTCACCACTCACACCACTCACTCCATCCACTCGCTTACCCTACATATACTACATCCCACACCACGCTCACCCACCTGAATGGAGAACACGTCCTCAATGGGCATGAGAAATGGCTTGTCAAGGGATCGCTGAGGCTCCGGAATATATTCATCCACTGCCGCCATGAGCTTGAGAATGGCCTTCTTGCCGATCTCCTCGTTGGTGCCCTGCAGGGCTGCTAATGCCGACCCTCGCACGATGGGGATATCGTCCCCTGGGAACTTGTAGAAGGAGAGCAGCTCTGAAAGGGTAGAGGGGGGGAGAGGGACGGAGATTGGCAAGCAGAATTGAAGGGGCTCTAAAGGGGCGCTGAAGCACAGTTTTTGAGTCGACTAAAAAATCGACTTATCACACGAAGGGGAACTAAAGCACAGCGTTGACCCGCGCGCGATGGGAATGTCGTCCCATGGGAACTTGTACAAGGAGAGCAGCTCTGGGGGGAACGGGGTGGGGGATGGGAAGAAGGGGGGGGAAGAGCAGGGGACAGAGACAGAGCAGGGAAAGCAGGGGGGTTGCATCAAAGCACGGCATTGAACCGCGCACGATGGGAATGTCGTCCCATGGGAACTTGTACAAGGAGAGCAGCTCTGGGGATGAAGAGGAGGGAGTGGAGGGGAAAATGGGGGGAGGTTGCGGAGGGCGGTGTTGAGGGGAAGGCCAAGAGGAGCGGCTGAGCCACATGCTGTGATGGTGGGGCTCACATGCCACAGGCTGTGATGGTGGGGCTCACATGCCACAGGCTGTGATGGTGGGGCTCACATGCCACAGGCTGTGATGGTGGGGCTCACATGCCACAGGCTGTGATGGTGGGGCTCACATGCCACAGGCTGTGATGGTGGGGCTCACATGCCACAGGCTGTGATGGTGGGGCTCACATGCCACAGGCTGTGATGGTGGGGCTCACATGCCACATGCTGTGATGGTGGGGCTCCCATGCCACATGCTGAGCCACATGCTGTGATGGTGGGGCTCACATGCCACATGCTGAGCCACATGCTGTGATGGTGGGGCTCACATGCCACATGCTGAGCCACATGCTGTGATGGTGGGGCTCCCATGCCACATGCTGAGCCACATGCTGTGATGGTGGGGCTCACATGCCACATGCTGAGCCACATGCTGTGATGGTGGGGCTCACATGCCACATGCTGAGCCACATGCTGTGATGGTGGGGCTCACATGCCACATGCTGAGCCACATGCTGTGATGGTGGGGCTCACATGCCACATGCTGAGCCACATGCTGTGATGGTGGGGCTCACATGCCACATGCTGAGCCACATGCTGTGATGGTGGGGCTCACATGCCACATGCTGAGCCACATGCTGTGATGGTGGGGCTCACATGCCACATGCTGAGCCACATGCTGTGATGGTGGGGCTCACATGCTACATGCTGAGCCACATGCTGTGATCCACATCCGTCCCCACCCCGTACGCCCTTCAATCCCAGCAAGCAACAGCCCCTTCACCGCAGTCCTCGTCTCAGCCTCCTCTTGCTTTTAGCCTGGCTGAGATGGCGAGAGCCGGTGGAGCTCCCCCTGAGCTCCCCCTGAGCTCCCCCTGAGCTCCCCCTGAGCTCTCCCTGAGCTCCAGAAGCTCCTCATCATCCACCACCATGTCCACCTTGTTGCGAGCAGCCACACACAGCATCATTCCCACCGCACACAACCCTCACTCACCTTGTCCCCCTTACCTCGCAGTTCCATTTCCACCACCTCCTCCTTATCACCTGCCATGTCCACCTTGTTGAGAGCAGCCACACACATGCCAACCTCTCACAACCGCACTCTATACCTCGCTCAATCCCTCGTGTCAACTCACCCCGGAGTTCCATCTCCACCAGCTCCAGCAGCTCCTCATCATCCACCATGTCCACCTTGTTCAGGAAACACACGAGCGATGGCACGCCCACCTGGTGATCAAGGGGAATAGAGAGGGGAAGGGAAGGGAGTGTAGGTTCGCATGATGCATGCATGCATGCATGCTGACAAGGCGCGGTGTGCTCTCATCCTCCTCATCCATCCACCATCTTCACTCCATTCAGGAAACACACGAGCGACGGCACTCCCACCTGGTGGGAGGGGGGAGGTGGAGGGAGCGGGGAGCGGGGAGCGGGGAGCGGGGAGGGGAAGGAATGGAATGTGAGTGCATGCGTGTGATGAATCTGAGCAGCGCCTGAGATCATGGTGTGATGTGATCATGGGTCCGCGTGCCCGGAGGGTAAGAGGCCGAGGAGAGGAGGAGGAGAAGGAGAAGGCGGAGAGGAGGGGAAAGCGCCAGCAGGGGAGGAGAGGCAGGGGGCAGCAGTGCACGCCTGCCTGTCACGTCTCTCACCTGTCTGGCGAGCAGGATGTGCTCTCAGGTCTGCGGCATGGGGCCATCAGGAGCCGACACAACAAGGATACCCCCGTCCATCTGAGCAGCGCCTGTGATCATGTTCTTCACATAATCCGCATGCCCGGGGGTGTGGGAGGAGAGAAGGATGCGGAAGAGGCGGAAAGGAGGGGAAGGGGGTAGTCTAACACCATCCCTTCTGAAGTTCTCACCTGCCTGGCCAGGAGAATGTGTTCGCGCGTCTGGGGCATGGGGCCATCAGGAGCCGACACCACGAGGATGCCGCCGTCCATCTGAGCAGCGCCTGTAATCATGTTCTTCACGTAGTCCGCGTGGCCTGGGCAGTCCACGTGTGCATAGTGGCGCTTCTCTGTCTCATACTCCACGTGGGCCTGAGAGGGGGGTGAGGTCAACGGGGGTGAGGTCAACGGGGGTCAACGGGAGTCAACAGTGGTGCCCGAGGCAGTCCACACGTGCGTAGTGGCGCTTCTCTGTCTCATACTCCACGTGGGCCTGACACGTGGGTCAACAGGAGTCAACAGGGATCAACAGGGGTTCAAAGCGAGACAACAAAGATGTGCGGGGCAGTCCACTCCACGTGGACAGTGGCGCAGTGGCGCATGTGCGGGGCAGTCCACTCCACGTCTCCCATGTGCGCAGTGGCGCTTCTCCGTCTCATACTCCACGTGGTAGGGAGAGAGGTTGTCAACAGGAGTCAACGAGACGACTTTTGAGGCGCCTCAAAAGTCGCACTCCACGTGGTAGGGAGAGAGGAGGTCAACATGAGTCAACGAGAGTGAATGTGACCCAACAGAGGTGGTTGGACCAGGCAGCCCAAGTGTAAGCACTGATTCCCCGTGAGGTGTTAGCACAGAGGTGGTTGATTCCCCGTTTAAGCATTCACAGTAGCGATGGTAATGCAACGGGCCTTCTCCTCAACGCCTTGTCGATCTCATCAAGCACAATCGCCTTCAACAAGTCTCAGCTCAATCTCATCCCCCCATCACCAATTACTCTCACAGCAGCAGCGGCAATACACTCACAGTGGCGATGGTAATACCACGGGCCTTCTCCTCGGGCGCCTTGTCAATCTCATCAAACGCGATCGCCTTCGCCTTGCCCTCGTCCGCCAGTACCTACACGCAATGAGAGGAGCGAGGAGAAGAAAAAAGAAGAGAGAAGCGGGGGGACGGAGAGAGACGGGGAGGGATGAGAGGGGAGAGCAAACGAATTTCACTCGCAACACAGTCTTACTGCCGTCTGTCAAGATCGGTGAGGAATGGAACAAGGGGGGGGAAAGAAGAGGGTGGGAGGAAAAGAGGATGAGAGAGCGGGAGGAACCATAATGAAAGCATCAGCTTGGTATATAGGATAATAGGACGGGTGGTGAGGGCCAGGAACCGTGTGTGTGCGTGCGTGGTGAGGGCGACGCCACGCCAATCACCCATACCTTTGTAATTGCGGCGGTGAGGGTGGTCTTGCCGTGATCCACGTGGCCGATGGTTCCGATGTTCAGATGCGGCTTGCTGCACGTGGGGAGATTTGCACACGCGCGCGCACGCGCGCAGGGAGGCACGCACGCAGGAGGACAAGGATGGAGTCGCTAGGATGAAGGCTAAGTTAGATTCGGACTGCGGAAAAAAACACGCATGCACAGCGATACGCGAGTGGAACCTCGCAGTTTCGACTTGCAAGTCGTCTCAAACCGCGGCACGCGAATTCGTGCTTGTGAGAAAGGGCGATTCGAATCACGCGATATTGACTGACAGCGCAAGCTGGGAGGAAGCTGCTACTCACGATCGGGAGAAGGTTGCGTATCCACGCCTGCACTGCGCCGCGATCGCCGCCGCGTCTCCCGCCGGAACAGACAGAACAATGCCGCGAAACGACGTCGACGACGCAGCGGCGCAAGTCACGGAGCTTCTGAAAGGAGACACCGCGCCGCTAAGCACCGCATCCACGTCACGACCTCCCGCAAACCCCGCAAGGTCGCACGTGCTGACGTGGCGGCTGGCCAGCGCGGCAGCGCCATTTGGTGACGTGGCCGGCGCGGCTGCGCCAGCTTGCGATCCGGTTTCGACGGATCGGAAGAGCGCGCCGAGCGCGCTTCCCGTCGCTCGGTTGCGCGACAAAATACGGTGGACGGATGTGACGGCCATCGTTATTAGCACCAGATCTGAGATCCTTCGGTATAAGAACGTGACAAACGGTACTAATGCGAAAGATAGTCTCCTCCCTGAACGATCTTCCTAAACCTCCCTGAAGCGTCGGATTGTAACGCAGCGTCTAGCGTCGCTTAGGTGATACGGTGCGAGACTTAGCAGCGCAGCGAAGGGGAAGTGGGAGGGACAATAGCTAAGCAGAACGCTTAGCGGCTGATCCCACACCAGAAACAACCGACCGCGATTCGAGCTCTACGCCGCGCGTTGCGCGATGAGACGAATCGTAACGGCTGATGGGTGGAGCGAGACTCGAGATTCCAGTCACGCATGGACCTGTGTCTCTAAGTACGACGCTGCTATACCTCACAAGTTACAACTGTCAGGCCTCAAAGCCTCCTTCGAAATCTGCGTTGTTGGCTGATTTGTTACTGATTCGGACGATTATGAAGCCCAATGATATCTAAATATATTTGATGAGGCGTTTCTTGAGTGGGTAACACTTTCTACAAGTTCCTACTTGTGGTTCCATAAAGGCGAAATGAGTGAGTGTACTCCCATAGTTGCTGCGAGAATTCAGCGGATGGTTGTTGCTCTTCTTGCTCTGCCAACTGCGAGCGAAGGCCATATAAAAAATCAAAGGTGGTAAAATGCAAGTGGAAAAATTGCAAGGAAAAGGTATCATTCGTCTCACTCACCTTCACCCGATCCTCCTCTTTCAACTCGCCCATGTAGAAATGCTGCAAAATTGCAACCGGAATGGATAAGTCATTAGGGGAATAATATAGAAACATAAGCTCACAACAACAAAATCGCTCTCCATACTAAAGAAAAGCAAGTGGAAAAATTGAGCTTCTCAACTCACCCTTAGGTAAAGAAACGACTCGCGTGATGAATGGTACAACTCGAAGAAAACTGTACAGTCCCGGTTGAGCCCCTGCAATGTTTGCACCAACGGAACCAAGGAAACTTATAACGAAGATGAGGGGAAAGAGTATACTTGCGAAGGCAAAGTAAATAAGTGATGTGCAAACACCTCAAAACTGTGCTTTACACTTGAATGCAAGCGATAAGTTAAAACATGATAAGCATTCGCAAGGGGCATGTCTCGCCTGAGTTGGAATGATTGTATCGCCTCCTGGGTGTTCCGGTAACCATCTGGTTACATCCAGCACCATGCCATCCAGAAGCAGCCAACAGTTGCCGGCCGCATTACGTTCTGCCACCTCAGCGAAGGTATACTCACTGGGAAGGAAGGCAGGTGCATGTATGGGGATGCATGGATGGGGGTGCGCAGGTGGGGGTGTTTTTTTTTTTTTTTTTTTTTTTTTTTTTTTAAGATGCATTAATACATTACAGGAATGTAATAAAAACATCATCAGTCGTAACTGCGGGTGGGGGTGTGTGGATGGGGGTGCATGGATGGGGGTGCATGTATGGGGCAGGTCAGAGCAGGGCAGGGCAGGGCAGGGCAGGGCAGAAGCCATAACATGAACCCTAAACCCTAATACCCAAAATCCTGAAGAACCCACCCAACAGTCTGAGAGCCTCACCGGATGCGCGATTCAAAGAGCCCTTGCCGCTGGTCACAGAGGTCTGCAAGGCTCTTCAGCCCCAGCGAAGCTGCCGCTTCCCTGAGGTCCCCCGTGAGGTTGATGTCAAACTGAAAACTCTCCCCTTCCCCCTTGAAATCCGCCTCTAGAAACAGTAGCACTCGGTCGAGCAGCAGACAGTCAATGGGCACTTGCACCGTTGGGGGCTCTGAGCTGGTGTCCTGCACTGCCTGGGAGAAGAAAGGTAAGTCAGGGAGTGGGGTGTGAGACTGGAAGGTCACCTCACCACTACCCTTGCCCTTTGAAATCCGCCTTCAGAAACAGCAGCACTCGATCCAGCAGTAAACAGTCGATGGGCACTTGTACTGTTGGGGTTTCTGAGCCTGTGTCCTGCACTGCCTGGGTGGGTGGGTGAGAAGGGGATGGGAGGAGTGGAGGCAAGGCACTCTGTTTTTGAGACGTCTCAAAAACTCACTTTTTACACGTGGCCACTCTGTCCAGCAGCAGACAGTGGATGGGCACTGGGACTGTTGGCTCTGGTATGATGGACGCAGTGAAGTTCGAATAACTCCATGCCTACAAGGGCATGAACGTTTGAAGGAATGAAAAGTGCGAACAAGGAAACATGCCTACATGCGTTCCCTTCCCGTGTGTAGCCAAGTGCAATATCTGTTCTGGAAAGGTAATGAAACGTGGGGAATATAAACTCTTCTCAGAGATCAATTTCATTGTGGCTTACTGCGCTGACTGTTTCTGAAAGAAAGTTTGAGGATCATAAGCAACGTACTTTAGTAAGTGTGAGGCGTGGTCGCAGAAGGGCCTTTTTGACTGGAAAAAGCTCGTCGTGTGATGATAGGAGCTGGAGAAAGGGAGAATGGGGGGGCTTGAAAGAAAGTCTGAGGTTCCTAAACAGGTTACCTTGGTGAGTGTGAGGCATGGTCGCAGAAGGGCCTTTTTGACTGGAAAAAGCTCATCGTCTGATGATAGGAGCTGGGGGAGGGGGATAAGGAGGGTGGGTTTGGGGAAGACGAAAGAAGAGGAGTGAAGCGAGTGGGGAAGGGGGATGAAAGAGGAGAGAGGCAAGGCACGGTCGCAGAAGGGCCTTTTTGACTGGAAAAAGCTTGGCGTCTGATGATAGGAGCTGGGGGAAGGGGTGGGGAATAAGGGAGTGGAGGAGGGTAGACGTGAGGGACGGACGAAATGAAGGGAGAGGGGAGGAGTGGAGCAAAGAGGAGAGGACGAGAGATGGGAGGCAGCGATACTCGAGGTATTTGTAATTGCGTAAGCAAAAACAAGGCTGGTTAGGCTCAATCACTCGGCAGTGGAAGATCGGAACACTGCTCTCATCGGAGCTCTGAAACCCATGATACCCCTCTGCACCACCACACATCCCTCTGCACCACCCGGTTTTTCCCAAACAGAAACAAAGAATAGCCCATCCCCCTCAACGCACCCCCCTTGACTGTGCACTATCCTTGCATACACTCACATTGACAACCCTGACTTTTGAGACATCTCAAAACCCATCCCCCTCAACGGACCCCCTTGACTGTGCATTATCCTTGCACACACTCACATTGACAACCCTGCTCGGGCCTGTGTTGTCGGCAGCCTTCTTAGGGGCCCAGTTGAGTAACCGTATGCCTGCAGGAGTGGGGTAAGGGGAAGGGCGCGGTTGGGGGGGAGGGCGCGGTTGGGGGGGAGGGCGCGGTTGGGGGGGAGGGCGCGGTTGGGGGGGAGGGCGCGGTTGGGGGGGAGGGCGCGGTTGGGGGAAAACGAGAACAGGACGTTCTGAGGAGAGCGGGCAGGCTTTTGAGGCGCCTCAAAAGGCCTCTAAGGAAACCACTTGAGTAGCCGTATGTCTGCAGGGGGGGAGTGGTGTAAGGGGAAGAGCACATTCGAGGGGAGAACAGAAGGTTTGAAAACGAGAGGGAGCAGGAAAGGGGAAGGGGGAACCAATGGCAGGACAGGGCAAGGGAAGGGGGAAATACTGTATGACGCGGAAAAGGAGAGAAGGAAGGATGGATTGGAGCAAGAAAGTGGGGATGAACGCACCAGTGGTGAACGCATAAGTGGTGACAAGTGGCAAATGGGAGCATATGATTATACCTGTATCGGGGACAAGGTGTATCTGCGTGTTGTTTGTGAGCATGCCCCGGTAACAGTGATATAGCACTGCTTCCTCTCGATCCTCCTCACCTGCCGCATCGCAGCAACGAGGAGAAAAAAAAAAAAGAGGAGAAGAAGAAAAAAGTGTTACACAGATGCAAACAAGTGCACTCGCAGGTGGCATGCGGTATGATGTGGTGGTCGCTTTCCCCACTTAGATAGCAGCTACACAGCTAGAGTGGCTCACTTAGATTGTTTGCCTCTGCCACTCGCACTGCCACCTCCTTCCCTCCAGCAGACACCACCAGCCTGCAGCATGGAGACACGTGGCCCAATGGAGACACGCCACGTGGTGCAATGCAGTTGCCACTTAGCCATCAGATCGGATTGGGGCAAGAGACAAGCTTGCCAGCAGCAAACGTGTGGGTGGGATGAGGCAAACAACCAACTGATAACAGAAAAGGCCATCTGCTTAACAGTCTCTCCTAGAGATGCCTCAAATGAAAAGAAATGGAGGTAATAATATAGGCACATGTGCGAGAGAGAAACTGTCTGTGAGCAATTGGTGGTGACATAACCAATCGAGTTGCACCTCGGAGTGAAATAACCAATCAATTTGCACACACCCACAGCCTCTCGGAGGCACCTCAGAGAAAGTGGCATACGTGTGAGAGACTGTGAGCACTTGATGGTGGAATAACTGATGAATCCGATGGCATAAATCCATAGCATCTAAAGATATGCACTCGCCCTTCTGTTCCCTCCTTTTCTCCTCCTCCTCCTCCTCCTCCTCCTCCTCCTCCTCCTCCTCCTCCTCCTCCTCCTCCTCCTCCTCCTCCTCCTCCTCCTCCTCCTCCTCCTCCTCCTCCTCCTCCTCCTCCTCCTCCTCCTCCTCCTCCTCCTCCTCCTCCTCCTCCTCCTTCTCCTCCTCTTCCCCATTACCCTCACTCCCCCCCTTCTCCATACCAGCAGCGCCCCCTAGTAGAACCCGAACCTCCACAGTCACATCTGGTGTGATTGTAAAGAGGGGTACAGGAGCTGTGAGACGTCTCTAACGCCATATTGAGGTGTGTGACTGCAACGAGTAATAATGGAGCGAATAATGGGGCTTTGGGACGTCCCAAAGGAAGTGAGAGGTGTGTGAATAATGGGGCGAATAATGTCCGAATTGCAATGACATGTCCGAATTGCAATGACATGTCCGAATTGCAATGACATGTCCGAATTGCAATGACATGTCCGAATTGCAATGACATGTCCGAATTGCAATGGAGGGACAGAAGGATGATGGTGTGGTGAGGGAGAGGGAAAGGGACATAGTGTGGTGTGTCGTATGAGTTGCCTATCACACAGTGTGGTGTGTCTTTTGAAATGACTCTATCGCACCCTTCTACGTACCATGCAGTGCGAATCTTGGGGGCGGGAGAAAGACGTCAAAGTCATAATGAATCTGCAGAGCACACAGCAGAGCATACAGAGAAACGGATAGAGAGAAACTGATGGAGGGAAACTGATGGGGAGAAACTGATAGGGAGAAACTGATAGAGGGAAACAGATAGAGGAAAACTGATAGAGGGAAACTGATGGGGAGAAACTGATGGGGGAAACTGATGGGGGGAAACTGATGGGGGGAAACTGATGGGGGGAAACTGATGGGGGGAAACTGATAGGGGGGAAACTGATGGGGAGAAACTGATGGGGGGAAACTGATGGGGGGAAACTGATGGGGGGAAACTGATGGGGGGAAACTGATGGGGGGAAACTGATGGGGGGAAACTGATGGGGGGAAACTGATGGGGGGAAACTGATAGGGGGGAAACTGATGGGGAGAAACTGATGGGGGGAAACTGATAGGGGGAAACTGATGGGGGAAACTGATGGGGGGAAACTGATGGGGGGAAACTGATAGGGGGGAAACTGATGGGGAGAAACTGATGGGGGGAAACTGATGGGGGGAAACTGATGGGGGGAAACTGATGGGGGGAAACTGATGGGGGGAAACTGATAGGGGGGAAACTGATGGGGAGAAACTGATGGGGGGAAACTGATAGGGGGGAAACTGATGGGGAGAAACTGATGGGGGGAAACTGATGGGGGGAAACTGATGGGGGGAAACTGATGGGGGGAAACTGATGGGGGGAAACTGATGGGGGGAAACTGATGGGGGGAAACTGATGGGGAGAAACTGATGGAGGGAAACTGATGGGGGGAAACTGATGGGGAGAAACTGATGGGGGGAAACTGATAGGGGGGAAACTGATGGGGAGAAACTGATGGGGGGAAACTGATGGGGGGAAACTGATAGGGGGGAAACTGATGGGGAGAAACTGATGGGGGGAAACTGATAGGGGGGAAACTGATGGGGAGAAACTGATGGGGGGAAACTGATGGGGGGAAACTGATGGGGGGAAACTGATGGGGGGAAACTGATGGGGGGAAACTGATGGGGGGAAACTGATGGGGGGAAACTGATGGGGAGAAACTGATGGAGGGAAACTGATGGGGGGAAACTGATGGGGGGAAACTGATGGGGGGAAACTGATAGAGGGAAACTGATGGGGGGAAACTGATGGGGGGAAACTGATGGGGGAAACTGATGGGGGGAAACTGATGGGGAGAAACTGACGGGGAGAAACTGATGGGGAGAAACTGATGGGGGAAACTGATGGGGGGAAACTGATGGGGAGAAACTGATGGGGGGAAACTGATGGGGAGACGCAGAGAGGCAAAGAGGCAGAGGCACAGAGAGACAGAGTGGATGCAGGCACACGTATTGCATGCACACAACCCGCAGCTCTACCCACACCACAAGGGAGGCAGACTCACATCGGAGGCTAGATGCATGTTGAATCGGTGCACGGCAGAGAGGGCTATGGCCGCTGGGGGGACACATGGGTGGGGGCTGGCATGGGCATTGGGAGGGGAGAGAGAGAGAGGTTTGTTTTTTATTGGGCTGATGATGGGAATGGTTTTTGAGGCGCCTAAAAAAATGCTGGGAACGATAACAGCGGAGTGATGATATATTAACATCATGCATCATGCAACACACAATGCACACCCATGGATGTGTGCCTTTATGTATGTATGTTCGTTTGTGCGCACGCCCGTGTCCGCGAGTGCGCATGTATGCACGCACATGTGCGTGTGTGCACTCACATGACTGCTAGCACCCCATCACTGCCACCCTGTATCACATGGCATGCGAACACAACAAGGAAACGGTTATTGAAGCGCCTCAATAATAGACTGTATCACCTGGCATGCCAACACAACAAGGACAGGAGACGGCAGATTATGGTGCAGGCACAGCGCCGGCAGGAGGAGAGTCAATTCCAAGGAGGTTCTTGAAGTGGTATTGCACCGCATTGCACCGCATTGCCTTCCCCCCTACATGGCCTTTGCCCTCGAGACCACCACTAGCTCCCAATCATCCCCCCCAAACGGTCTCCTAGCCCCATACCCCAGCACCATTCCCAACCCATCCCCGCCTTACCTTCTGCACCAGGTATACGCGCTCATATTCCCCCCCCTCCTCCCCCTCCTCCTGTCCCTTCTTCCCCAGTTCTCCTCCCCTCTCTCCCTGCTTCCCCTCCCTCTCGCCTCCTCGAGATCCTTCTGCGTCTTTTTCCCCGTCCTTTCCCCTTTGACTCTCCCCCATCCCCAGCAACCCTCGGATCCATCCCCCCACCGCCCCTCCGCCCATGATCCCTCCCCCAGCTGCGCCTCTCCCCCTCGCGCGCCTTCCCCGCGCGTTCAGATTTCCCCCCGACCCTTCCGCTTCCGCCTGCTGCCACGTGTCCCTGATAGCCCCCCAATCCGAAGGATTCACTCCGCATTGCCGCCCTGCCAGCTCGGATAACGGTCGCGCTGCGGCTCTGTTGGCGCTGACGGTGCTTCCGCGTGCCACGTCATCAGGACGCGTGGACGCTGACGTGTCAATATCTTCCCAGTTGACCACCTGGTTTGGGGGAGGCGAGACTCGAAAGGGACGAATCAGGCTGAGTCAGTCCAGCTACTTACCATGGAACAAGCTCAGCTCAACTACGAGCTTCGTGCCGGCGCGCTGCGCGCTCTCTAAATTCACATCCTACGGTCACATACTCCTCATTCTGCATTCTCCCTAATCCACCTTAGATTTTCGCCAGACATGAAGCACAGGCAGCCTCGTGAAGGATTTGCGCGAATCACAACGTTCCGTCCCATGACGCAAGCGCACCTTCAGGCGGAAATGGCGCTTCGCTGGCGACTCGTCATTCGCCATTGGCACGCGCGGCTAGTGTCAGAAGAATGCACTGTACAAGTCCAAGGCAGCTCGAATTTAGGCTGCCTCGATTTGAGTTACACGCCTGACATAAATATATATGTACAAAGTTTTGCAAAATTGTAAGCTATTTTCAAATATTGCTCCCCTGTAAGAATCCATCCCTCGTTTTGTTCTCCCAATCGGTGGCAACCACCTCTACAGTAAAGCATCTCCACCGCACAAACTTCTCGAGAACGCGCAAATTTCAACGGCTATCCAAAAAGGGACTTTTGGGATAGTCGAACAGGAACTGATCCCAAGGAGTCCAGGTATTGTCTCAGCTTTTCTTTCTGTTGGTTGCTTAGGAATCAGCATTTCTGTTCTGTAAGGGTACTCCGCACCGCATGTGGCAGCGGTGGATACGCTCTCACAGCGCGCCGTGACCTTTACGTCACGCGACGACCGCCATGGCTCGCGGCGGAGGGACAAAGGTGAGATTATGCCCTCGTAGAACATAAGCGTGTTCCTGGCCCTTGAATTCGGCCCCTTGCATGACTTATCGAATTAATCCTTATTAGAAGGGTGGTTTATTGGGTCTCTATTATTGGATAAGCGTGTTTCAGGCACTTGGATTCGGCCCCTTGCATGACCTATCAATTTAATCTTTACAAGTAGGGTAGACTATTGGTGCTCTATCAATGTTCCATTCTTCCGGCTTATATCTGCATGATTTCTCATCCATTACCCACTCTTCACTCTGGTAGTATTACACCTGTGCCCTTTATCATTCCATTTTGCACATACAGTCTTTACCCCCTCGTCATTCTGACCGAATCGTATCTGTATTGTTTCTCATTCCACTTTCTCATATCAGTCCTTTTAATGTCGCTACCTTATTCCTCATCACTTCTTCAGGGTGGATCTCTCGCGAAACGCGGATCGGGTGGTAAGCCTGCTGCTGGAAAGGCACGTGGCGGTGGCAGCGGCAAATCAAACCTCAAGGACAGCTCATCGTCACGGAAAAATGCCGGTTCCGTACAGCCTGCTAGCCGGCTAGCCGGCAGCAACCGTGGCCGGGGACGTGGGGGGGTGGCAACAGGACGAGGAGGCAAGGCCGGTGCGAAATCCGCGAAACCGGCGAAACCACCGGTTCCGGCGGCGGCGGCAGGGGAAGAGGAGGACGTTGAGTTGTCAGATGAAGACGTGGCGTTTTTTGCGCAGCACCAGAACTTCGCGCGCTTTCTCTCGGGCCTCGAGGAGCAGCAACTGGGCAGGTGAGCGGTCAATTCCTCTGCCCATAGGCGTGGTTGTTGTTGTTGTTGTTGTTGTTGTTGTTGTTTTTTTTTTTTTTTTTTTTTTTTTTCAGGCGTAGTAATAAATTTATTTTTATTGTTTTCCAACGTGCCCTGTTTATCCGCAGAGAAACCAGGGAAGCCAAGCCGAAACTGCCTAGACCAGATCGTACTGAGAACGGAAGCGATGCTGACAATAGCGAGGATGATGGAGGAGAGAAGGAGGCTAGTGGTGATGATAAGGATTCAGAGGGTTCAGATGCGAGTGATGACGAGGACGGGGATGACGTGGAAGAGGACGTGACTGACGAGGATGAGGAGCTAGCGGACGAAGAGGAAGAGGATAATGAGGGCGTTGCAGAGGACACGCCGATGGCGGGACAGGAAGATGAGGAGGAAGAAGAGGAAAAGGAATTGGCGGAGGAAGAGGAGGAGGAGGATAACGAGGAGGAGATCGAGCCTGTGATTTCCGACGACGAGTTCGACGATGAGGATGATGAGGAGGAGGACGACGAGGAAGAGGAGGAGGGTGATTTTGACAACGACGATGATGACGACGATATTGACGAAGTAATGGTTTTCGCGGACACGTCAGCAACTGGTCTTGGCTCTTTGCCGCAGAAAGGCGCGAAAGGCAAGGTGGGGGAAGCGCGCCGAGCAGACAAGGGGAAGGTTGGAGCGAAGAGGGATGGGGCGGAAGGGGAAGAAGAGGAGGAGGGCGAAGAGGGGGAGGGGGAAGAAGAGTCGGAGGATGAAGAGGCGGAGTACGAGAGGGGAACCCGCCGCCCCGGGTGGGCTGCGCCAGCGGCTGCAGCGGGAAAGTTTGCGCCAAAACCCCGCAGTGCTTCCGCCGCTGCTTCCGCGGGCATGGGGGGAGACGCGGAGGAGGTTGCAGTGGAGGGGGCGCCAGGGACGGAAGGGGAGAAGAAGGGTTTAATGCGGGGTTTCGGGCTTATTGCGGCGAGGGACAAGGGTGTGTTGGTGGATGCTTTTGACGCTCTGCCGGTTAAGACCCTGGACGGCCGGCTGATGTACCGCGCGATTGAAGTGCCGGAAGGGGCTGAGGGGGAGTCGGGGGAGAAAGGGAGAGATATGGCCGGAGAGAAAGAGGATGGGAAGAAAGGGAGGAAAGGGAAGAAGGGGGAGGAGGCTAAGGGAGGTCCGAGAGGAGAGGAGGCGGAGGAGGAGGAAGAGGAGGAGGAGGAGGAGGAGGGCGAGGGCGAGGAGGAGAAGGAAGCAGGGGCGAGGAAGCAACCGAAGGATGCATCGAAACTTACCCTACAAGAGCAAGCCATGGTACGCCCTTCCTCCCCTCCCTTCCGCCCGAAACGCCAAGTCTTAGATATGGCGATCGTACGTCCTACATCTTCGGCTCGGCTCTTTGCCGGTTCATGCTCTGTTCTAGTATTTCCGTATGACTGGATGGGAAGTAAAGTGTTACATTTTGAGTGTGATTTTTCGCAGATGGAGCTGCAAGAGGAGATGTCGGTGGAGGAGCGGAGGGCGGCAGTGAAGAAGGCTATAGCGCGGATGAGCACGCAGATTCTCGCAGACCCTGAGGCGCACATCGGACTGTTGAAGTCGCTGCATGTGAGTGTTGTGCCGCAGCTGCGCGTGCATCATTCCGGTGTTGTTTCACACCTCTCGCTGATAGCCGTGTTCAGGGACACCATTCCAAGGTACAGCGTGCGCGTGCGCTCGGAGCAGGAAATAGCAATGTTCACCTTCTCCCCGCCCCGCCCCCCCTTCCTCCTCTCTCTCTCGTTGCCCAATTTTCACGTTCCCCACCCCCTCCCCCGCTCCCCCCCCCCTCCCCTCTTCCATCCTTACCTCCTTGCCCGTTCCAGAAGCTGTGTCTGGACGCGGATTCATTCGTGGCCAGCCTCGCGGTGCTGTCACTGACAGCGGTCTTTAGGGACATAATCCCCGGGTACCGCGTGCGCATGCGGACGGAGAAGGAGCGCGCCATGGTGATGAGCAAGGAGGTCAAGAAGCGCTGGCTCCTCGAGGAGGGCCTGCTGCAGTCCTACCAGGTCCGCCTTCTTACGAGTATTTTCTGTCTCGTGTGTTCTTCCGCAAGCTGCTGTTGCAGTATGAGTCCGGTTCATGCTGACCCGCTTAAGCCGCTCTGACACCTGGTAAAACCCGAAATATCGGGTTTTTTGGGGGGGCTGTGCGAATGAGGTAGAATTCAAGGAGATAAGAGGGGGAGCGCGGTGATGAAACTGGATGACGGAGATGCCTTCGCCTCGTTGACGCTCCCAATAGACTACAATTATCTGAGCGCTCTCCTGCCCTTCGACCCTCCTCAGTATTCCATGAATTCGGTCGGCCTGTAGCTAACGAATCTTTCGGGCTTTGTTGATTCTGGGTGTGGAAAAAGAGGAAAGGGGAAATGGATGAGGGAATGGAATGGGAGGGCGATGGGTTGGGAGGGGAAACTGAAAGCGCGGTGATGATAATGGATAGCTGAGAGGCCTTCACCTCGTTGACGCTCCCAATAGACTACAATTATCTGAGCGCTTCCCTAGCTCTTTTCAGTCTATCCTCTCTCTTGTTCTTTCACCCTAGTTTTGAGGCGCCTCAAAACTAGTCTCCTTTCGCCCTCACTCATCCTTGCATGTGCTCCCTGTTGGTATTGACGTTTTCCAGAAGTTACTAAGAAACTATACGCATGTGTTCTGCGCTGGTTAATTTGTGAGTCAACTAGTCAAAAGGCCTTTTCTACATGATCCCTTTTCTCATCCATGTGCTCTCTCCACATGTTGACTCCATTCCTTTGTGGCACTCCTACTGGAGCACGCGAAGCAAGCAGCGCGCTGAGTCTTGTTCAAAGTCTGAACCATTCCGTCATGCCCCCCTGTGCTCAACCATTTCTCACTCCCCTCTCCAGTCGTTCGTCAACCTCCTCCTGAAGCACGCCAAGCAGGCGGCGCGCCGAGCCGTGTCGGTGCGCGCCATGTGCGGACTGCTGCGCGCTGCCCCGCACTTTAACTGCCGCTCGGAGCTCATCCGCGCAATCATCCCGCGCATGGACCTCGCGGACGACAGCATCAGGTGAGAATTCCCAGGGTTCAGGGCTTCAGGTGTTTTGGGACATGCACCGAGTGGGCCGCACTTCAACTGCCGCTCGGAGCTCATCCGCGCCATCATCCCGCGCATGGACCTCGCGGACGACAGCATCAGGTGAGAAGTCGCATGGTTCAGGGTTCAGAGTCTAGCGTTGGCTTTTGCGCATTCAGGGTTTGGGACGTGAAGCGGGCGGGCTGCACTCTATATGCTCCTCGGAGCTCATCCGCGCCATCATTCCCCGCAGGGACCTTGCAGATGGCAGCATCAGGTATAAATTCTTAGGACTCTTGGTTCAGGGTTGGGGGTTCAGAGTTTCAGTGATGGCCTTTGCAAGTTCAGGCTGCTGGTTTTTAGTGACGGTAGAGGCTGCAGAGCTTGTACCTGACTTGGTCCTCGTTCACCCCTCTTCCCACCTTTCCCGTGTTCTCCGCGTCTCCAGCTCTCTCTGCTGCAACACCATATCGGAGTTGATGCGGGAGGACGGGCGGCATGATGGAGAGGCCACGGTGGAGGCGGCGGAGCTCGTAGCTGACTTCATCCGCCAGCGTTGCTGCGTCACGCGCCCTCAGGTGCTACTACTCTTCCCCTCACCCTAACCCTTCGAGAGCATCATGTGCCCTCTGCTGCCGCTTCTACCCCCTTCCCCTCCCCCGCTTCTCCCCCCTTCCCCCCCACTCTTACCCCTCCACATACACGCGCCTCCACGAACTCGTTATTCAGGGGGGTTCTTAATTACCTGCCCCATCTCCCTCCATCCCATCCTCCGCCGCCGCAGGTGCTGCTGGTGTTTCAAACCCTCGAGTTTGACGACGATCTCCTCCAATCCGCGGAGGGCCGCGCAGCAGGGGGACCCCGCGGAGGTGCAAAGCGCAAAGCCACCTGGGGCGCGGGCGGGGCAGGGGGAGCAGGGGGAGTGGCGGACGGGGGCGGGGACGAGCAGCAGCCGGCGAAACCCAAGTCCAAGAAAGAGCGGAAGCTGGAGAGGCGGAAAGAAGCTGCGCGGATGCGGAAGGAGGTAGAGGGGGACTTTAGAGAGGCGGAAGCAGTGCGGGACGAGTCCACGCGGAAGCAGCAGCAGGCGCGCGTGCTAGCAGCCGTGTTCGAAGCGCTGTTTAGGGTAGTTAAAGCCGCGGCTATGCTGCACCAGCCGCGCCCCACGGACGGGTCTGGCGCGCTGTCCCTCCCCCCGCGCCCGCTGCTCCCCTCCGCGCTCTTCCTGATTGGTCACTTCTCGCATCTGCTGTCGGTGGAGTATCTTCCGGATCTGCTGTCCACGCTGCGCCAGCTGGCTGCTGACGTGGCGACGCCGCTGGACGGGGACGATGATGACCTGGCAGGAGGATGGGGGGAGGGGGGGGAGGCAGGAGCAGGGGAAGTGGTGATGTGGGAGGGGGGGAGGAGGCGGAGATTAGGGCTTAGACTAGAAGATAGGCTGACGTGCTGTGTGGTGGCTCAGAGGGTGATGAAGGCGAATCTAGATTCACTGAATGTGGACATGCGCGGGTTCGTGACGCTCGTGTATCAGATGATTCTCGAGGCGCCTATCGTTCCCGCGCAGGTCGCTGCCCTCTCGTCAGAATCACCCCCGGTTAAAGCATCCTCGTTAAAAGCGTCCTCGGAGGAAGAGGACTCGTTAGAGGAGGAGGTGATCACGCCAGGGGATAGTGCAGTAGCCTCGTTAGAAGCTGCCCTGGTATCCGCGTTACAAGAGGTGTTCATGTCGTCGGGTCACAGGCAGGCGGACATGACCCGTTGCGCGGCCTTCATCAAACGACTCTCCGCCGCTGCCCTTCATCTCTCTGCTGCCGGCGCTGTCGCTGGTGAGTGGCTGGGCTTTCAGGTGCTTTTGCTGGTGAGGGTTCAGGGTTCAGGATTCTGAGTTGAAACATATGCCTTTTGATGGATCTAGAATACGGCCTGACTGCCATGCTTCATGCTTGGCAAATGAGGTTAGACCCTGGCTGAAGGCACAATTCTATACAACACTGGTGCACTACGTGTGTGCCTACTGATGGATCTGGAATACGGTCTGGCTGCCATGTTTTGTGTATGGCCAAAAAAAAAAAAAAGAGTTTCTGCTGCCCTCTCAAGGGCTCTTGGAAACACACACCTTTGGTTACTCACATACGTCTGTCTGTCCGTGTCTTGGGTAACTCCTAAATGAGTCGAGTTTTATTCAGTCAGCTCAATATCAAGAATTCTTTACGCGCCTCATGATGGATCCAGATAGGCCTGATTGCTGGATATATGCATGGCAAATGACGCTAGACTATGTTTGAAGGCACAAGGTTGTCAGAATCCTGAAAAGATTGTAGTTCTCTTGGTTACTGGTGCCCTCTCAAAAGCTCCTGGAAGCACACACCTGTGCTTCCAGGTTTTACTCTTTTTTTTTTCCTTCTTCTTCCAGTCGACTAAAAAAATAGGCTATTGAGCACACATGCTTGTTTGTTTTGTATGTGCAAGGCCACTCGCCTCCTTCCTAGTCCGTTTTTGTACACCTGTTGCTTGCACCATAACCTGTACTGTTGAGAATTCTCAAAAGTGTCTGATGCTTTCAGATACACCGTCCTCACGTCCATTTCCCTGTCCCTGTGTGCCTTGCAGTGCTGCTAGTGGTGCGTCATCTGCTCCTCCGCTATCCCCGCTGTAGAGTGCTCTTGGACAAGGACCCTGATGATGATCTGCACGCTTCAGGGGGCGGCCTCGGCCCCTACGGTGGCCTGGCGGTGAGTAGCGCGTTTCGGTGCTGTGCTGTGCTGTGCTGTGCGGTGTTGTCCTCTTGGGTTGGGTGCGCTGCTGCGCTATCCCCGCTGTAGAGTGCTCTTAGACAAGGACCCTGATGACGATCTGCACGCTTCAGGGGGCGGCCTCGGTCCCTATGGTGGCCTAGCGGTGAGTAATGGGGTGCTGTGCGGTGATGTCCAGTCCTGTGCGGTTCTGTGCTCTTGGGTGCGCTGCTGCGCTACCCCCGCTGTAGAGTGCTCTTGGACAAGGACCCTGGTGTTGATCTGCACATCAGGAGGCGGCCTCGGCCCCTACGGTGGTCTAGTGGTGAGTTGTGATGGTAGATGTGCTCGTGGTTGTGTCATGGTCCTCCCGCGGTCTATTTTTTCTGGTCTACCCTTCTCGTCTCCTTCTCTTCCCCCTCCTCTTCTTCCTCGCCCCCATCGCCCTCTTTTCCCATGTGTCCTATCCGCCGTCCTGCCCTTCACCACTCATTAGTGCTTTGAACCTGCAGCAAGCAGCTGAGCTCTCACTGGCCGTCTCACCTCTGGGTGCTCTCCTCATTCCCCGTTTCCTCCTTTGTCAATCCCTCCCTTCCTCCCTGCTCCGCTCCTCCTTCCCTCCAGCGCTACGCCCCAGCAGCTTCTGAAACTGAGCTATCAGCCGCCCTCACATCCTTCCTCTGGGAGCTTTCCTTGCTCGCCTGCCCACTATTCCCCACCTTCCCCTGCACTCCCCTTTCTTCCTCCCCCTCCCTCCCCTCCCCGATTTTAATCCCCGATTTCATCCCCCAGCGCTACGACCCAGCAGCACCAGAGCCAGAGTTCTCAGCCGCCCTCAAGCCCTTCCTCTAGGAGCTCTCCTCATCTCCCCTTCCCGTTCCCATCTTCCCCTCCCTCACCAGCGCTATGACCCAGCAGCACCAGAGCCGGAGCTTTCAGCCGCCCTCACATCCTTTCTCTGGGAGCTCTCCCTTCTCGCCCGCCACTACCACCCGCACGTTGCCAGCCTGGCGCGCCACGTCAGCACCATTGCCACGTCACCTTCCGCTGCTGCCGCTCCTGGCAAGCCAGCTAAGGGGGTTGCTGATCCGTACCAGAAGGGGCAGCCGCAGAAGCAGCAGCAGCAGGAGGCAGCATCAGGTGGCCCTTCAGGTGTTTTTTCAGGTGCCACTGACCTGCTGCTCCTAGCTGGTACAGTGAACAGTGGCATTGACAGCACCATGAACAGTAACGTGAACAGTAGCATAAGCAGTGTACCGGTGGGGGTGGTAACCCCGTCCCAGGCGTATGCTGCATATAGCAGCGCAGTCACCGAGTCGTGTTTCCGGCCAGCTGTCGCTACGCCATTGGCCGTGAAATCGGGCGCAGCGGGAGCGGCTGCAAGGCGGTGGCGAAAGGAGGTGGTGCTGGGGCGGATGAGGCGGAAGCGGGGGAGAGACGAGGGGGAAGAGGGGAAGGAAGGAGTGGGGAAGGGCGGAGGGGGAAAGGGAGAAGCGGCGGAGGAGGAAGAGGAAGAGGAGGAGGCAGGGTGGGGGATGGGGGACTGGGCGAGGAGGGTGCGGGTGTCGTGCTGGCAGCAGTGGGGTGCGGCTGTGAAGGGCGGGGCAGGAAGCCACGGCAGCAAGGCAGGGAGTGGCAAGAGAGGAGGGAAGGGCAAGATGAAGCAACCACAGCAGCCGCAACAGCCGAATCAGCTGAAGCAGCCACAGCAGCCACAACAGCCAAAGCGAGCCAAGAAGGAGGCAGCTGCAGCATGAAGGGCACCGGAGGGGCAGCCGGACAGCCTAGTGTTGGGGGCTACGCTCCCCAAGGGGTTGCTGCTCGGTCGCTGGTGCTTACTCCAATCTAGACTCGCTGACTCCAATCAATACTCGCTGACTCCAATCAATACTCGCTGACTCCAATCAAGACTCGTTCCGCTGCCTGCTTTCATATCCTAATCTGTCTGGTACGTGTCACCGACTCCCTATGCCTGCTGAAAGGCAGTTACTTTTGAGAATTCTATAAATGAACTCCAATATGTCGGTGCCTTGTGATGCTTGTTTTACGCACATCAAATAAACAACCGAGTGCCATGATTGGCACATGAGGACCATTACTGCTGAAGGCAGACCTGAAACTTTGAGCCTAGAACCCTGAACTTCGACTCCAATGCACGGCACTTGCACCCTTGCCTCACATGCTTGGAAATTGTCAAACGGGTTAGGTTCCCGCCTTCCTTGCCCCGCTCCCATGATTTTTTTTTTTTTTTCCGCTTTTGAGAATTCTCAAAAGCGCCTTCTTTGTATGTTTTCTGAGAATTCTCAAAAAACATACACTGCCTTCCTTGCCCCGCTCCCCTGAATGATTTTTTAGGCGCCTCAAAAGTTGTCAAACGGGTTAGGTTCCCGCCTTCCTTGCCTCGTTCCCCTGAATGATTTTTTTTTCTCGTCTGGTCGGTGATGCTACCAATCAACTTCCTTACCTACATTACCTGAGCTGGGTGGACCTTAGGGTTCCTTGCGCTGCTGATCCACATTCCAAACTGAGACCAGGTGCTGTTAGGGGGAATCGACAGAAGTGATTGACACATCCTCTTTATTGACACATCCTCTTTATTGACACATCCTCTGTATTGACGCACTCTTCTTTGATTTCTGTGAGCCATCCTTGCTTTGATTTCATGGGGTGCCTGATGATGCTTGTTCTACGCACATCAAATAAACAACCGAGTGCCACCAATGGCACATGAGGACAAATACTGCTGAAGGCACACCTGAAGTTCACCTGAATCACTCCTGAATTGCTATCCACCTGAATTGCTATCCACCTGAATTGCTATCCACCTGAATTGCTATCCACCTGAATTGCTATCCACCTGAATTGCAATTCACCTGAATTGCCGAGTGGCACTTTCCATGCCTCTCTCAGAGCACCTTCTTTCTCCCTCGAGTGTAAGGGCGTTTGAGACCCATCGTTTGGTTCTTCTTCTTCCGCTGCCGCCGTCCTTCTCCTACCTTGCGCTTCTTAGCCCCTCTTCCTTACGGGTGCCTTGTACTTTTTTTTTTTTCGCCCCTTCTCCTACCTTCAGGATCGTCTTCCTTTCGAAACTGGATTGTTGTGCTTGAAAACTTCTTCTCTGGTCGGTGATGCTACCAATCAACTTCCTTACCTACATTACCTGAGCTGGGTGGACCCTAGGGTTCTTTCCACTGCTGATTTACATTCCAAACTGAGACCAGCCCTTTCCTTGAGAACTCGCTTGTCCCTTCTGCCATCATCCCTATTATTTGTATTTCCTACCTCTCCTATAACTCTCGTCCCTCGTTTCCGTCCCTCATTTTTCTCGCTACCCCTCATTTGTATATGTGCTTGGAGAGAGTGAGTTTGCTCTGAAGCATCTTTTAAAATGAAAAGGGATGGTGGTCACAGGGAGTTTGTAATGATGAGGAAACCCTCTGGGAAAATCAAGAGACAGTGCAGCAAGCACTGAATGAGTTTCTTAAATCCAATAGATCCTCCTGAACACATTCCTGACCTTACTGTGCTCGCTTTCCCTTGCATCTTTCTATGCAGCCTCCCTGTTTGGTTGCTTTCTCCTCCTTGCAATTCCATCCCTTACTCTCTTAGCACCTTCCTATCTCTCTGCCTCAGCTCTCCCTCCCTCCCTTTCATCTCCCTCCCTTAGCTCTGTTACCTTCTCTCTTCTGTGCTTTCCTGTCACTTGTTCTTGCTTCCATGCCTTCATTTCTTTGTGCAGTGGAAAGCATTGACAAGAGTGTATTGATGAGGAAACCCCTCTGGGAAAATCAAGAGACAGTGCAGCAAGCACTGAATGAGTTTCTTTAATCCAATAGATCCTCCTGAACACCCCTCCACTGGCATGGCCTTCCCAGCTTTCCCCCCCCCACTGCCTTTCCCCCGCACTTCTACCGAGTCCAGTCTCCCACCATCCCCTGTCTCTTTCCCCCCCTTGACTCCCCTCTTGGCCTTTAGCTGATGTGAGGGTCATTGGTTGTCAATGCTTTGTTGCAGTGTGATGATGAGAAAACCCATCAGGGAAACAAGAGACAGTGCTGCAAGCAGAATGAGTTTCTTAAATCCAATAGATCGTCCTGAACACTCACTCTGTTGCCCTGGCTTCCCCAGCTTGCTTGCCTCCCTGCCTTTTCCCACCATTCCCTCTGTTTTTTCCCCTCTTCTCTGCTCGCCTAAGGCCTCTGATGGGAGGGATTCTCTCACGTAATACCTTGTCACTCGGGTCTTGTGTAATGATGAGGAAACCCTTTGAGGGAATCAAGAGACAGTGCACCAAGCACTGAATGAGTTTCTTAAATCCAATAGATCCTCCTGAACACATTAAATGCTGCCTTTCTTCTCGCATTCCTTTCATTTGTTTTCCTTCTCTTTTCTTTTCAATTCACACAGCTGCCTTCTCCCTCCTCACATTCTGTCTCTTCTCCCTTCCCCTCACCTCATACAGGGCAAGCAACAAGGTCAACAAAATGTTTTCATTGAAGCCAGGAAAGCAGAATCCCAGGGCGAAGCATTGCATGTCTTATGAGACTGAATGATCATAGTAAAATCTTCAGTGCTAACTTAAGTTCTGGAAACCATTTGCCACGTATCATCTGAAACATTTGGAGAACACATGCTACATGTACAGAATCGTGAAATATACAATGCTACAATGGATAAATCAAGAAGCACCAAAAAAAAAAGGGATTTCAGACATCACTGTACAGATGTCTCAAACAGCTGTCAAATCGGTTTCACTACCAATATTCCCGAGTGTACACGTAACACGACCGCATGTAACTGGCTCGGGCGAAACCTCCACAGGCACGAAGCGAGAGCCGCAGATGCGACCCGAGCTGTCGACGTGAGGCACAGGGCGAAATTCCCTCCCGGGGTCCTCGAAACTGCCGAGACCAGTAGCCGTGGAGAAAAAGCAGCCTGGGGGGCAGGGCGGGGCAGTGCAGAAGGGGGGATGAGGAAGGGCGAGGGAGCAAGGAGAGGGAAGAAGAGGGTTGAATGAGAGGTTAGGAGTGCATTGCTGAAGAGAGAAACTTTATTTTCAAGGTGTGTGGGTGGTGAGGCAGCATGCACGCAGCAAGTCAGAGTGCAACACGGCAATGCGTGTTCTGAGGATAGGCTACTTGGGAATATGGGTTACCTGGGAGGATGGATACCTGGGAGGATGGTTACCTGGAGGGAAGGGCGCGTAGGTGGTGGGGCAGCATGCTCGCAGCAGGCCAAGGTCGTGCGACACGGCGATGCGACGGTCGCGACACATGGCCCAGTGCAGCTCCACGTGGCTGTCGCCGTCCTGTGATTGTACCGAGTCACACACAAACGGAAAGGACGGAACGAGGCGGAGATGAAAAAGCGGGAGGCAGCGTGCAGACAAGTCACGGCCGCTGGAGTGGCAAAAGGATTTCTTGAAAAAAACGAATTGGCCCACGCACGTCCTTTCGTTCTCCTCTCTGACTCAGTTAGCTGGTCTCTGCTATATGGTGGTCTGCCTGTTCGTTTTTCCGCAACTACCGGCCACTTTCACTCACAGCGGCAATGAACGCGTTTCCCGTTTCGTTGTCGTAAATCACCGTGGAAAACGGCCCAACCATCTCCGCCAGCGCGGATTCCGCAGAATGCGACACCTGGTCGTACAGCAGGGCACTCCGAAGCGCCTTGTACATCCCGAGGACAAGCTGCGACTCGCTCGTGTCGTGACCGTGGCCGCCGGCGACGCCGTACGACCGTCGCAGCTGTGCGACGTTGTCTATGCGACCGGTGAAGACGCAGAAGACGTCGCCGGACGCGGCGAGCTGCGTGCGATGGAAGGAGTCGTCGCCGTCGTGCGAGTAGCCCAGCACAGCTTGCGCGCCGAGCTGTATGCTCGCGGCATTCGGATGACGTTTCAGAAACTCCTGGAGGAGCTCGGCTGACGTTGCACACTTGGAAGCGTCATAATTCACGTCGCATGGGAGCTCGACGAGCGACTCGTCGAAAATGGCCAGCGCCATTCGCGGTGGCTACAATGGATTTTTACAGTGCCTTTTGGAAACAATCAGATGAAATGAGGGGGACTCGACGGCGATGAGAAAACGGGTAAGAAATGTGGTAACGCAATTGGTTCCGAAACTAGCTGAACAGTGAGAGTCGTCCACAATATCGACCGGAGGAGGCAATGTAACTAGCACGTTTCAGAAGCAGCGCTCACCAGGTTGCATACTAGACAATGCACTGTGGGGGTGTTGGAGGCCTAAGCTGAGAATCCAACAGAAGAACGAACAAATAAAAGAAGTGGCATGTGTGAGTGAAGGACGAGCATAATAGGAGGAGGACAACTAGCTAGCGTCGAATAAAAAGGACCAGCTGGAAGGGGTGGATGTGGTGAGAGCAGAAAGAGCAGTGATGATGCTGGGGGGGAAGGTGGCTGCTGGAAGCAATTCTGCAGCTCAGGTAACGATGTGTTCTATATGCCCGGATCGCAAGGTTGGATTGGGGTCGCCCTGCATAACTTAACTCCAATGTGCTCGTTTTTTGCATGATATTTAGAGACAACGTCTTGTAACCAGATGCGTGTTCGAGTGTTTAATGAGTATTTGATATTTTGATTAGGCCCTTCACACTGACAGCACGACAGATTTGCTGTGCTGGCACTGCCAACGCGACAGACGACATTGCCACTTCGCAGCGATAGTGCCGCGCGCGAACCGTTTGATTGTTGCAATCGTGGCGTTCGACTGACGTGGTTGGGCATGAATTCCACGTGACAGCCACTCGGGAAGATGTTGAGTCAGATGAGGAAGGAACCAATTGGTCGTGCTCCGCTGTTTGAAATATTCGTTACAACAACTTTCTTTAACGGGTTATGTAAATTCGAACAATACGAATTGCCATATGACAACCTCCGTGTCGCTAACAACCTGTTCTTGATGCACCATTCGATTGTCAGATCTGCTGACGACGAGAACTGCAGCTCCATTGGACGAGAGATCTGAGGGCAGGTTACTCGACCCACTCATTGGCTGTCGTCTTGCATCGCTCATTTGAAGGATCAGATTCAGAGATCACCACATGCCCACGCTACTTCTGGTGCAGAACGTTTCAGCTGATAACTATTGCAGTAAGAATCGTTGCAATGCGGTTCATAAAACCTACTCACACACTTTGATGATATTTTGTTGAACTACTTTCACCGCTCCATTTTTTTGAGCCAGATTCAATCACTCGACAGCCGAAATATTCTCCTATTTAGTCAGCGAAGGTGGTGATCGTGCAATTGTAGCATTCCTAGGTCTATTTTCAACTCCCTTGTGATTCTGACAAATAGGTGAGGAGTATACATACGCTCGTACAATCCGTTGAAAGGAGTCTCCCATATCTGCCATGGATATTCGGATTCATGATTCATCATGTTCGACAATTGATAGCACTCCCTCAATCTCAGTCGCTGCACCTTCAATGGATTCGGACAATGGCTTTCTAGAATTCACCATTCTACCCACAAGAAAAACTTCGCAAGCATCGTTTGTCAGTATGAAATCTCTCTCGAAACAAAGATCCCGCAAACCTATCACGTTAGTGACCTACAGATCCATACCCTTCGCTTCCGTCTCTAAATCCCTCTCATCAGACTCACCGATAACGAACCAATCCGAAACTGCCAGAAGCGATCAATTAGATTCTGACACGTCACCTGAAGACAGAAGACCGGCGTGGCTGGTGAAGTTTTGGCGGGAAGCAGGGTCGGTGCTGGTGGCATTAGGGTGGGGAGGAGGGGGAGCAGCAGGTGGATCCGCGCCGTCCGCCGTGGATCCCAGGCGGTTGGGAACATACCTGAAAGCTCTTCGCAGCCAGACACGCGTGCTGCTGAAGCAGCTGCCGTTATGGGAGCGAGCAGGTCAGTCACTGTTAAAGAGTTCTTTCCAGATCACCACGTCCTCCGTTGCAGGTTGTTTTGAGAGTCCTCCGTTGAGAATTCTCAAAAACAACCCGCAACGTTATAGAGTCCTTTCCAGATCACCACGTTCTCCGGCGCCCCCCCCTCCCCTTCCCCTTCCACGCTAGCGCCAATTCCATGTTCCACCTCTTCGCACTGTCTCTCTCTCTTTCGCACTGTCTCTCTCTCTTCTCCACCCCGTGATATCATGGTTTTTGAGCGAACTCGAAAGAAATAGTTGACCAATTTAATCATCTCCTTTTGGCGTCTCTCTCCCTCACCCTGTAAGAACATCCTCCAGGTGACTTTTGAGTCGACTCAAAAGTCACCTCATGAAATAGTTGACCTGATTTATCATTTCCTCTTGGCATCTCTCTCCTTCACCCTGTAAAACATCCTTTGAGGCGCCTCAAAACTTGGCATCCCTCTCCCTCACCCTGTAAAACATCCTCCAGGCATCGGAGCCGTGGCGGGAGGGCTGGCTGGTGGCTTCACGAACGCGACGCTGCATCCGCTGGACACGGTGAAGACGAAGCTGCAGACCAAGGGTTCCTCGCTCGTCTACTCGGGGCCGCTGGACGTCATCCGCAAGGTGAGTGTGCGTGTGTAGGCGACTGTTGAGTTTGAAACATTACACAAAGGTGCAGACAAAGGGCTTCTCGAGGTGACTTTTGAGTCGACTCAAAAGTCACCTCATGAGTCGACTCAAAAGTCACCTCGTGTGTAGGCCACTGTTGAGTTTGAAACATTACACAAGGGTGCAGTCAAAGGGCTTCTCGCTCGTCTAATCGGACCACCTGGACGTCATCCCAAGGGAGGTCTGCATGTGTAGGTGCCTTGTGAGTCGACTCTAAAGGCTTCACGAACGCGACGCTGCATCCGCTGGACACGGTGAAGACGAAGCTGCAGACGAAAGGCTCCTCGCTCGTCTACTGGGGGCCGCTAGACGTCATCCGCAAGGTGAGTGTGCGTGTGTAGGCGACTGTTGAGTTTGATCCGAAAGGCTGCTCGCTCGTCTACTCGGGGCCGCTTGACGTCATCCGCAAGGTGAGCTTGCATGCGTTGGTGACTGTTGAGTCGACCTTTGAGACGAATCTGCAAACAAAGGGCACCAGGACCTAAAGGAACGTCTCTGTCATCCCCCCTGCATGTGTCAGCAGCGCAGGGCATTGGTGGGTTCTACCGCGGGCTGTCCTTGGCCTTCTCATGCGGTGCCTGATATTTCCTCCCCAACATCCCCCCTCCGTCCCGCCATCCATTTTCCCCCCCCTCTGTCCCGCCATCCATTTTCCCCCCCCCCCCCTCCCCCCCCCTGCAGGTGTCAGCGGCGCAGGGCATTGGCGGGTTCTACCGCGGGCTGCCAGCGGCCTTCTGAGGCACCTCCTATATTTCCTCCCCGTCCCCCATCATCCCCCTACTTCCCCCCGCAGGTGTCAGCCGCGCAGGGCATCGGGGGCTTTTACCGCGGGCTGCCAGCGGCCTTCCTGGGGTCGGTGCTCTCCTCCTCCATCTACTTCGGCACCTACGAGCTCGCCAAGGGCGGCCTTTCCCCCCCATCCATTTCCCCCTTCCCTCCCCCCTGCAGGTATCAGCCGCGCTGCCCGCCATCTCCCGAGGCGCCGCTGTATGCAACCCAAAAGCCCCCCTCCCTCCCTCCTCGCTCCCCCCCGGCAGGTATCAGCTGCACAGGGCATCGGGGGCTTTTACCGCGGGCTGCCAGCGGCCTTCCTGGGGTCAGTGCTCTCCTCCTCCATCTACTTTGGCACCTACGAGCTCGCCAAGGGCGGCCTCTCCAGAGACATCACGCTCCCGCTGCCCTTCTCTGGATTCAGACGAGGTTCCGCCACCAGCAGTGGAAGTAGCGGGGAGAGTCAGCAAGATAGGAGCGGACTCTCCCCGCCCGATAGTGGAAGTGGTAGAGGTGGTGGGGAGACAAGCAGCAGGAGTGGTGGTGGAGCTGGGGTTAGCTCTGTGTCGTCGTCGTCGTCATCACAGGTGGTGCTGTCGTGCCCGGTGGCGCTGGTGCCTCCTGTGGCGGCAGCACTGGGGAACATCACGAGCTCCGCGATTCTTGTGCCCAAGGAAGTCATCAAGCAGCGCATGCAGGTGAGGAACGGTGTAGTGCGGTTGGGAAGGGCAGTGACGCTGGTGCCTCCTGTGGCGGCAGCACTGGGGAACATCACGAGCTCCGCGATTCTCGTGCCCAAGGAAGTCATCAAGCAGCGCATGCAGGTGAAGAACGGTGTAGTGCGGTTGGGAAGGGTGGTGACGCTGGTGCCTCCTGTGGCTGCAGCACTGGGGAACATCACGAGCTCCGCGATTCTCGTGCCCAAGGAAGTCATCAAGCAGCGCATGCAGGTGAGGAACGGTGTAGTGCGGTTGGGAAGGGTGGTGACTCTGGTGCCTCCTGTGGCTGCAGCACTGGGGAACATCACGAGCTCCACGATTCTCGTGCCCAAGAAAGTCATCAAGCAGCGCATGCAGGTGAGCGGTGCTGCGCGGTTGAGAGGGGTTTGGTGGAGGGCCGGAAAGGGTGGTGGTTGGCTGGCTGAAAGGGATGGTGGATGGATGAGCGAACAGGAACTGAAGGAAATCTGCAATGGTAGTGGTAGCACCCCGCATGCAATGGTAGTGGTAGCACCCCACATGCAATGGTAGTGGTAGCACCCCACATGCAATGGTAGTGGTAGCACCCCGCATGCAATGGTAGTGGTAGCACCCCGCATGCAATGGTAGTGGTAGCACCCCACATGCAATGGTAGTGGTAGCACCCCACATGCAATGGTAGTGGTAGCACCCCACATGCAATGGTAGTGGTAGCACCCCACATGCAATGTGGAATATAAACATGCAAGGTGCATGTGAACGTGGAAGGTGTCCTATGAACGTACAAGGAATAATATGCACATGCAAGAAGGTGAATGAACTTGCAACATGCAAAGTGACACATGAGCACGCAAGGAGGAAACCCACGTATAGAGAGGGTGTTTTTGAGACGTCTCTACACGGGGCAAAGTCACATATGAGCACCCAAGGAGGAAAGCCACGTGTAGAGAGGGTGTTTTTGAGACGTCTCTACACGGGGCAAAGTGACATATGAGCACCCAAGGAGGAAAGCCACGTGTAGAGAGGGTGTTTTTGAGACGTCTCTACACGGGGCAAAGTGACATATGAGCACCCAAGGAGGAAAGCCACGTGTAGAGAGGGTGTCTTTGAGACGTCTCTACACGGGGCAAAGTGACATATGAGCACCCAAGGAGGAAAGCCACGTGTAGAGAGGGTGTTTTTGAGACGTCTCTACACGGGGCAAAGTGACATATGAGCACCCAAGGAGGAAAGCCAGGTGTAGAGAGGGTGTTTTTGAGACGTCTCTAAACGGGGCAAAGTGACATATGAGCACGCAAGGAGGAAAGCCACGTGTAGAGAGGGTATTTTTGAGACGTCTCTACACGGGGCAAAGTGACATATGAGCACGCAAGGAGGAAAGCCACGTGTAGAGAGGGTGTTTTTGAGACGTCTCTACACGGGGCAAAGTGACATATGAGCACCCAAGGAGGAAAGCCACGTGTAGAGAGGGTGTTTTTGAGACGTCTCTACACGGGGCAAAGTCACATATGAGCACCCAAGGAGGAAAGCCACGTGTAGAGAGGGTGTTTTTGAGACGTCTCTACACGGGGCAAAGTGACATATGAGCACCCAAGGAGGAAAGCCACGTGTAGAGAGGGTGTTTTTGAGACGTCTCTACACGGGGCAAAGTGACATATGAGCACGCAAGGAGGAAAGCCACGTGTAGAGAGGGTGTTTTTGAGACGTCTCTACACGGGGCAAAGTGACATATGAGCACGCAAGGAGGAAAGCCACGTGTAGAGAGGGTGTATTTGAGACGTCTCTACACGGGGCAAAGTGACGTATGAGCATGCAAGGAGAAATCTCCTTGAAATTCCCCAAAAACCTTGTCTCACGTGCTCATTTCTGCCTACTGCTATCCCGCACCCTGCTTCCCCACACGCCCTTCCAGTCCCCTTCTCATTCCTGTCTCCTGCCATCCCTCTCGCCCTGCCTCCCATCGGGGCCATCCCTCTCGCCCTGCCTCCCATCGGGGCCATCCCTCTCGCCCTGCCTCCCATCGGGGCCATCCCTCTCGCCCTGCCTCCCATCGGGGCCATCCCTCTCGCCCTGCCTCCCTTTTACTTGCTCGCACCAGGCGGGAGCAGCAGGGTCGGCGTGGCAAGTGCTGCAGCAGACAGTGGCGGGGGAGGGCGTAGCAGGGCTGTACAGCGGATACACTGCTGCCCTCCTGCGCAACCTGCCCACCAACGTCCTCAACTTCTCCACCTTCGTACGTTACTCTTCCATTCCCTACCCTGCTGTCCTCAATGCATGTCTCCTTCCAAACCTGCCCACCAACGTCCTCAACTTCTCCACCTTCGTACGCTGCTCTGCTCAGCATGGCAGCAAAGGCACTCTCAGGCTCAGCCATTCTCTTTCACTCTCATCCCCCCCACCTCCCCTCTGCCTTGGTAACCCCCTCTACCTCCGTCCTTCCCACCATCAGGAGTATCTCAAGATGGCAATACTCCATGTGAGGCATGCTACCGCCCTGCCGGGATTTTTTAGAATTCTCAAAAAATCCCTGCAACGCCCTGCGACCGCATGAGAGCATGGCAGCGCGAGCAGTCGCAGGGGCACTGTCAGCCGCACTCACCACACCTATGTGTTCACTCCCTTTCGTGGTAACCCCATCCGTCACCTCTCTCCTTCCCACCATCAGGAGTATCTCAAGATGGCAATACTCCATGTGAGACGTGCTACCGCCCTGCGACCGCATGAGAGCATGGCAGCAGGAGCAGTGGCAGGGGCACTGTCAGCAGCACTCACCACACCTCTCGACGTGGTCAAGACGCGCCTCATGACTCAAGCTCGGGTGGCTGTGGCAGCAGCAGGCACCACAGGGGCAAAGGTACCTGCTTCTTCTCCCTCTCTCTCTCTCTCTTCGTCTCTCTCCATGTCGTTATGATTGAGTGAGTTCGTTTCTTGCCTCGTTGCTATGTCAGCAGCACTCGCCATGCCTCTGGGCGTGGTCAAGACGCGCCTCATGACTCAAGTTCGGTTGCAGTGGCAGCAACGGGAACAACAGAGGCACAGGTATGTGTTGACGCTCCCTGCCTCCCTCGCCACGCCGCTGAACGTGGTCAATACATGCCTCATGACTCAAGCGCGCGTGGCAGTTGCAGCAGCAGCAGGCACAACGGGGGCAAGGGTAACTGGCACCCTCCTTTTCTTGTGTTCTTCTGATTGAATGAGTTCGTTTCTGGGAGTTTGTGTCTGGTCTGGCCGTTCTCAGCAGCACTCACCACGCCGCTGGAGATGGTCTAGACATGCCTCATGACACCAGGCGAGCATGGCAGTGGTAGCATTGGGCACCACGGGGACAAAGGTTATCCATCTTTCCCATTGCTCTTCGGCCTCCTCTCCCTTTTCTTGGTAATCGGTGCACTCTTTTTGGGTCTGGATAGATGTTGTTACCAGCATAGCAATCATCATCACCCATCTCGTCCGCACTATGACACAACAGCAGTCAACAGCAGGTAGTACTTGGGAAGGTTTTAGTCATGACTGATGCGGGTGGCAGAGGCAGACTTCTGAGTCGACTCAAACGTCACAGCAGTCAACAGCAGGTAGTACTTGGGAAGGTTTGTGTCATGTCTGATGCGGGTGCCAGAGGCAGCAGCAGGCTGGCACAACCAGGGCCGACCGAACCGGCTGTGCTCCTCTGTTCCTTCTCCCACCCACTCAGCCTGCCTGTTGATGACATCTTCCCCTGTGTCATTCCATCTTCCCAATGCCCTTCCTTTATTATTCCTGCAATGCTTGATGCCGTTCCCTTCAACAGGCAGAGGCAGCAGCTAAAGCTCAGGCCGCAGCTGCATACACGTACAAAGGAGTGGCGTCGACATTGAAGCGTGTGTGCGAGGAGGAAGGCGTGCTCGGGTTGACGCGGGGCATGACTCCGCGCATTCTTTATAACGCAGCATTTTCGGCCATTGGTTTTCTGGCCTTTGAAACTGCCCGCTCGGTCCTGCTGCAAGCGCATATTGAGCGAAAGGCCAGAAAGCAGCTTCAAGGGCAGGCGAAGGGTTTGCTGAGTGATGAGCGATTTGCGAAAGCCGGAGATGCTTAATGGCAACAGTAATCTGTGATGCTGAATTTGAAGAACGTTGTATTTTCAGTACAATACTGGAACGTACTGTGACGTTGTACTTGAGTGAGTGCCCTTCTTTAACGAATTATAGTAGTTATGGCGTGCTACCCAGGGTCTGTGGAGCCCCTGGTCCGGCGAATAGGGCTGGTCCGACGGACCAGGCCCAAACCATGTCGCACACGAATCTCGCAGACGGTCTGACAGATCAAGTCAATCCCTCGTATTTTGCCTGGCAAACCTGTAGATTGGCTCGGACCAGAGCGGACCAAAAGGCGGTTATGTGGTAACCATTTAATGTAGTATGTTGGTCCTCAGCGAACAAGGGGTTCTGTGGACTCTGAGTAGCACGCCTTTATTCAGTAGGTCATTACTGGAGCACTGGAGGCCTGAAGCGTGGGCATGCAGTAGAACACAAGTGCTTACCGTATGTGGTGGTTTCTATTGATATATTTTCTGATGACAACTGGTGTACGTGGTGTTATAGTGCTTTAATCCAGTGACATTTTGCTTTTGTAAGTGCGTATATTGCCATATATTGCTTATAAATGTGACACTCCCGTTTACCAGACCCAAACGAACAGAAGATTCGTTACACTGGGCTGCCGTGTGTAGGAAACGGTGGCTGCACGTCAGGAAGCCTGGACTGACCTCCGCCGCATAATCTTGCTGATGGACATCCGTGTGGCTGGCGGCGGTGCCCCTTCTTTGCATGCAGTGTTCATCTGCCCGTTCCTGGTCCGCCTTCAAGCATCGTCGTCGATTCACACCTTCTCCAAAAAATCCCGCAATCCGACGCTTTTAACGCGTCGTTAGCTCCTCGTCTGCCCGCAGTTAGAGCGCGCCTCGCTTCACCGACTACTGTAACTGCACGAGCGTTCCCCCCCCCTCTCGTTCACGGCTCGCTCACACTCGCTCACTTTCATTCCAGCCTAAGGTAACAAATGTCCGCCTTCTCAACTTCAGTCCCATTTTTAGCATCTCACTTCTTTCTTGCTATTTTCTTCCAGCTGAAGCAGCCCAAGATTGTCAGTAGTAGATAATTTCCAAACGCTTCTATTTCTATCATAAAGTAGTAGCACGATCCCTGCGGCGTGCTGTTTGTTTCCTGAGTTCGTGGAGTTGGTTTCAGGCCGCTCGCCATGGCCAGGTCGTTACATTCCTGTTCACAACGTCGTGATGTGACGGTGTGGTTCGTTTGCGTCTCAGTCGCCGCGCTTCTCGTCAACGAGGGATTTGGCGGCTCGTCTCGTCAGTATGTGTCGGCCGCCGCACCGACTAAGCAGCAGCTAAAAGCGGAAGTTAAGAAGATGGCGGATCACGTCAATGCGCACTACCCGAATTACGTCAAGTTCGCGAACGCCGTGAAAGCTGCTATGTCGCTCAACTACGACATATCCGCGTTAAAGAATGCGACGATATTGATGCCCGATAACAATGCGTGGTCGAACTTCACGAAGCTGGTCCCTCCGTCCTCGAAGAATCTGCCGAAGATGTACAACGTTACGGCGTACCACGTGCTTATACCGAGGATGATGCTAGCGTATATTAGGCAGCAAAAGAAGAGGGCGTTCCCGACAATGCTGAAGCAGCCTCAATATAAGCAGACCCCGCTAAACGCGGTGAACGCATCGTTTGGGCTTTTGAATTCCCCCAAGCCCAAGTGGTGCACAATAACGACGGCTAGAATCTACCAGGGCCCTTATTTCATCTCCCATGGTGTGGATAATCTTGTGATTCCTAAGGGTACTACGGTTCCATAGCTTCTTGATGGATAAGCTTAGCCGAGCTTCTCTAAACGCGTGCATTTCTTTACGCGCTTTTGTGGTAAATTTTACCATTCTGATCATTTATTGTTGCAAGGATTATTTTGACATTCCTTGCCGCGTACAGAAGCAGCCGTTGTTCCCCCGTTATTGCTACCGGGGCTTCTCCAAACCAACCTTCGCGTGTTTTTGGGTTGCGAAGCAACCCTTTACGATCGATTTTGACAAATTTTATTTTCATGTTAAAAAACATGAAAAAAAATCGTATGCTACAGTTCCAACCTTCCCATTGTGCATATATTAAACTCATTTTTTCTTTATTGTAGTAGTTTTGTGCATAGATGCTATACTGTTTGCATTATATTATTTTCCTGTTTGATGGGACAATTGCAATTAATGTTAAGAATATTAATAATGAAATACACACCACGCATGCTTAAATGAATGCAATGAGACAAGATATATAAATGCATAATACTGATACATGGATGGAAATGCTTTTGTATGCATGCTAAATGCTAAATGCAACATACCAGCATATCATCATCATACAAATGCGTAATAGTTAACGACACAAAAACTAGGCTACCGCATCCCCTGCCTAGCATGGGGGGGAAGTCAATAGCAAAGTTTTTGAATAATCAACTAGCACATGAAACAATACAATCTGTTAACTCTAAAAAACAAGTTCACTCTATCAAATCCAGTTCGAAGTGGCAAACACACGAGTCACTGAGTGCGCCAATGAACCAATGAGAAATGATAGAAATGAACCCATTTTTTAAAATTGACAGACATGCATTGATATTGCAATGATAAATGAAAAAAATGCACACTCACACACAAGGAAACACATTCACACATTTACAGAAGCACGAACACCGGCAAAACCAGCAAAAAACATGCGATAATAAATAACATGCAAATCAACGTTAAAATGACATTTTGGTAAATCCTATTAGTGACAAATGCGCATTTTCCAGATAGAAATCGCATTTCTGACCAGCAGGCTCCTGCGAAACGGGTCCAGGAAACGATACAGTAAACGAAAGAAGAGAATATAACGAAATACGGAGAACAAGAGCGAGAGAGAGAAAGAGGACGAGAGAGAGAGGACGAACTCGAGAGAACGAACTCGAGAGAACGAACGAGAGAGAGGACGAACGCGAGAGAACGAACGAAAGAGAACGAACGAGAGAGAATGAACCTAAGAGAGAGAACGAGAGAGGGAGAGAACTAGAGAGAGAGAACGAGAGAGTGAGAGTACGAACGAGAGAGAAAACGAACGAGAGAGAGAACAAGAGAAAGAGAAAGAGAGAAAGGGAACGAGAGAGAGGGAACGAGAGAGGGAGAACGAGAGTGAGAGAACGAGCGAGAGAGAACGAAAGAGAGAGAGGGAGAACAAGAGAATGAGAACGAGAAACAGAGAACGAGAACGAGAACGAGAGAATGAGAACGAGAAACAGAGAACGTGCGAGAGAAAGAGAGAACGAGAGAGAGGGAACGAGAGAGAGAACGATAGAGAACGAAAGAGAGAGAACGAGAGAGAGAGAACGAGAGAGAGAGAGAGAGAGAGAGAGAGCAAATTCATAACTACGGTTTCAAAAGAGCCTATGTAGTATTCAAAATATGACGGTTAGAAGGATGTGACGGTTCTAAACCGAATAAAAGCAAAAGGTGAAAGAAAAATGGATTCAAAACAAGGGAGAGAGGATGAGAGAGAGGGAGGACGAATGAGAGGAAACGAACGAAATATGATGAAATAAAACATACAATTATGAATTACTACCATTCGAAAGCAACAATGAACCGTAGCTGCAGCTAATTAAGATCATACAAGAGACATATGTCTCCTGGATTGTCTAATGTAATTGGATTGACTCACATCTTATTATGTTTAAAGGAAACTAGAGACTCAAGCATGGAGGAGTAATAAGGAACGATTGAAAGAGAAAGAGAACGAGGCAAAACCAGAACTTAAGCTTAATCAACTGACATCCTTTAAACAAAACCAGCAGAAGAGAAAACGACTATGATACGAGATTAAGCTAGCTAGTAATACTATAGATAGCACTGCTATGATACGATTAAGATAGCTACGACTATGATACGCGGCCACACACTAGGTACTAATCATCTAAGGGTTAGGGTTGTTCTTACCTTAGTAGAAACTGGTAGGTGGAGCCTAACTAGGAGCTCAACCAGCGGGAGGGAGGAAGAAAAAGAGCACGAGCAAATGTCAGAATCCCAGCCACTAACCACTGGGATAAAAGGGCTTGTTTGTGTAGCGGGTGAGTGCGCCCATAACCCCCCAGGCCGCCGTGCCTGTAACCCTTCCCTAGGATCAATCGGGGATCACCAGTGGACCTCTGACACCCCCCCGCACTGGGATGCCCGAGGTGCACACACCGGGATTCGAACCCGAGACCTTCGCTCTGATAACATGTCAGAATCCCAGCCACTAACCACTGGGATAAAAGGGCTTGTTTGTGTAGCGGGTGAGTGCGCCCATAACCCCCCAGGCCGCCGTGCCTGTAACCCTTCCCTAGGATCAATCGGGGATCACCAGTGGACCTCTGACAGCAAACCCTAAAGAAGTTTCAGATTCGTCGAGCAAAATGTTACTTATAAGGACCTTTGAAGATGGTTAATAGTGGCGTTGGTGCAGTCGTTAAGAAAAAAATTGTGAGTCTAATGGTTTCAAGTTCGAAACCTGCAGGGACACTTTTAGAATCTTTGGCACTAAGTACCAACTTCATGTCATACTACGGCATTGTGTATAGTCTACAGCTTTATAAAATTTGTGTATTTACCAATACGTAAGACTACAACGCTTCGCAACCCTAGGACGACATTGTCGCCTCTTGTCTTAGTATTCCCTCATGCCTTCACTCGTACTCTGTTTCGCACGTGCAGTAGGCATCCCGTAAAATGTCTTAAGATAATATGTATATGTTTCACATGATGGACCGTGCTCATGCCGGAGTGGTTAACGGGACAGACTAGAAATCTGTTGGGCTCTGCCCGCGCAGGTTCGAATCCTGCTGAGCACGGCGAAGTACTTTTGTCCTTTGCTCCTAGCCAACTCGAGTCTGCAACATAGGCCGAATCCCAAACCAGCCATGGGTGGAGGGGCTTGCGTTGCGCCTGACTGGAGTTCCGTGCTGGTGTGTGGCATTAGCTGGTCCAGACAACGGCGAATGGTCCTATCTGGACCGTACTAACCGCCAGAAAGGTCACAGATCAGGGTCGTTAATTACCCTTAAACTCCCCACATTCGAGTACTGCATGGACAGATTCCTTTTTCAGTAGTGGTAAAAGAACTCAGGGCGAGTCCAACTTTGCACATGTACAATTTTGTTTTCGAGACAGTTACCATATCAAGGCATGTAACAGAACTTTTAACGTACTCACATGCGTTTGACGTGATACTGTACATAACTGATGACAGTTCGGAAACGTGCTCCGGAACGTGCGGCACACATCCGAATTTCGACCTGCAATGCATTTCAGACCTCGATTCGCGTCAAACACGTCAAACAGTAACTTTTTTTTCGTCAGATGTCTTTCGCCATTAAATTCGCCCTTCCGCCACAAGCGCGAGAGACTGCCGCCAAACCACCTGGGATATCCAGTAACCCCATCCGTGGCATTGTACATTGCATCAATATTGTACCTTGTCAGTCGGCACAGGTGTACACTCGTTAACTTGACAAGGAATGTTCGGGGTACACCTTTGGGTACAGTCAAATTTGACGATACCATTGACGTTAAAATTACGGGAAAAACGGAAGTGTGCAAAGTTGGACCCGCCCTCATAGTACCTAGCTAAGTCACGTTATACGTGCTGTGCTGTTCGAGAAAACAGAGTTGTGAGTGGTGTCTCTGTTCAGAGAGTGCCGAGCTCCAGACCAAGAACAGCACAACAACCGTCCCCACCATGTTTCACACCCCTCCCAAGGTCTCAAGATTCTTATCTGGCAGGGGGTGAAACTAAGGGGGTGACGGCCTTAGTCGTCCAACCAGGGTAATTTTGGTTCTGATCCCGTGGCTTTGGCAGGAAAGTCAGAGTTCGCTCAGTGAGGCCAACCTCATGCCATGCCATGCCAGCCTTCCGGCAGTGTGGCTTCCCCAAGTCGCTTTGATGAGTTCGAGTGAGAAGTTGAACAAGGGGATGGCTAGAGGGGCAGCTCAGGTACAGTTCAGCCAAGCTATTTTGTCGTGCAACCAGCGAACGGGCTGCCCCAAAACTGTAATCGTTCGGTCTTCGCTGTTCAACCTTTGTGAATCGTGTTGAGGTGCGGCCCTATATCGGGCTCCGCATTTCCAATTCGTTTTGCTTCCCTGCCCGGCGTATCCACCATCCTTCCCTCCCTGTCGTACTGTACCTTTTCGCCGCTCTAGCCGCTTTGCATTGCTCCCTTGTGAGAGCAGGCAGGCATGCGGGTGACAAGCAGCGAAGTTAGTTATCCATCAGCAGTCGGTACTAAACAAAACCAGCCGCCGCACACTACGGCGTCGCCTACGTGTACTTTATGGCTTCTGTCCTTTCACTGCACCCTGGCTTGGTACGGAAGATTGACTGCTTCCAACTTTATTACGGTGTGCGTTTCCGAGCGGTGAATTAGCATCCCCGATTGCCTCAATCGACGAAGTCTGATTATGGTCGTCATTCTTCTAGCAACGAGCAGTACGAGTGCAGATTCAGTTACCAGCGGCAAACATCGACGTTGGTAGGTGTGGTTACCAGTACGGACTGCCACGGACAGCCACGGACAGCCACGGACAGCCACGAATATTGAGTAGCGATACCTCAGTGTCGAGTCGAGTTCACAGCAGTAATCTATATCAGAGAGCACGACGTTTATGCAGTGTTATGAGTGTTTGCAGCACCGATGACCGTGAAACCCGCTGTTCAAGCCGCCGTAACATGTGTAGCATGGTAGAAACCCGAGTACCCATGCTTTTCCATCGACTTGGATAAGATCCAGGAGCGGCATGATGGGAGCCGTAATTGCCGGAGGTTGGGGACTTGAACGACGGTCGTGTCGCGTGAGGTGTAGAGCACCAGCTGGACTGAAGTAATTTTCGAGAATTCTCAAACGTGACGCGTATCAATAGTAGCCATCGCCCCAGCGCAAACGTTTGAGCCGTTCTGGCTCTGGATCGCCGAGCGTCGCCCTAGTAATTCATCTGGACCAACTCCGGAAGCTTCGCCGTTCCTTTCGCGATGGATTTCACCGACATAGGGACATGCATACCGCAGGTAGACCCCGCGCATCGGGTCACGGCTGCTCGGCTGATGGGAACTACCTGCCCCACGTGCGACCGTCCCGTAGCCATGTCGCATCCATGGCACCACCCTCCTCTCTTCGACCGCAAAAACCCTTCCGCGCTTCGGGACTTCGGCCGCTGCCGCTTCGTCTGCACCGCCGCCGCCGTCCCCCTCTCCGCGCCCTCCGCGCAACCTCCCGCGCGGAGCTCCTCCGCGGAATCCGCCTCTGCCTCCGCCGCCGCCTCGATATCCTCGAGCACGGCGTCCGCCAGCGATCTCATCGCGGAGCGGGAGCGGCGGACGCGGGTTCGACACCTCGTGAGCGCGGAACCGGCGCTGACGGCGCTGACTGAGCCGCTAGCCGCAGGCTGCCCCGCGCGCGGTTTTCTCCCGCAAACGGCCGTTTTAGGCGGAAGCAGTCGGAGCGAGGAACTAAACATGGACTTATTAAGCAGCGCGCCGTTAGAGGCGCTCGAAATTGGACCGCAGGCGTATCGTCGGCGCGTGGGTGACGTGTACGATGTTATTCCGGTGCTCGCGATTCCGGTAAAGGCTCCTAGTCGAGCCGGAGAAGGGAATAGTATAAGTCGCGGTACGGGTATTGGTAACTCCGATTCGTCAGGGAGAAAGGGAACGTTAGCCGGGGGTTTAGAAAGAGAAGATTCTTTCACGGGAAGTAATTCCGGGCGCTTAGGTGGTTGGGATGCGGAATCGGTGGTTTCTGATTCGACGAGCGTCGCTGGTGGCGACGATTCGGCTGCTGCTGGCGGTGCGAGGAATCGCGTCGCGTGTTGGTGGCGATTGGTTGTTGTCGCCGCTGACGATTTGATGGCGACGAACGACGAATTGTTACAGCGATGGTTCGCGAACACGGATAACACGCGGAAGTTCGCCGTCTGGGTGAAGAATGGTGAGAAGAAAGCGGTTTCGCCGCTCGTTTTTTTCTTTCTCGACCCGATCAATTTTGGTCAGACCAGAAAATTAGGTTATTCATTACTTATGACAGCTAAGACAATCCCCTATTTCCTCCCCTTATCCCTTTCCCCCCTGCTCTGCCTCTCCTCACCCCCACACTCACCCACTTCCCCCGTTTCCCTCTTTTGATCCACGTTACAGCTCACCCCGGTAGCAAGTTGAAGCTGCACGGGATGACGATTGGAGCGAAGGAGAGGGACGAAGGGAAGCGCGTAGTAGCGGATGCGCATCGCTCGTGGCAGCTACAGTTCGCGGATGGTTACCCTATTTGTCGCTGCTCCTCGCTGCCACACAAACAGCAGCAGCAGCAGCAGGAGCAGCAGAAGCTGACAGGCGGTACAGTGTCCAAACCTGCACGTTCGGCGAAACCTAGGTCGTTGAATTTAGGTTTGGTAAAGCCAAAATCCGCGGGGCAGAATGTCCGCCGGCCAAGCTTTGATTTTGGTTCGGATATAGGGATGGCATCAGGGGGAATGGGGGTAACAGGGGAAACAGCAGGATCAGGGGAGGAGCAACGTCAGGGGGGAGGGGAGGTCAAATTGGAAAAGAAGCGATTTCTTGGTGCTTTAAAAGGGATTGGGCAGGCTAAAGACAAGGATGGTCACAATGGGAAGGAGGCAGATTTCGGTTCGGAGAATGAACGGCTGGATTGCAACGGTGGAGCGTCGAATGATGTGCTTGGTAACCAGCTCGATCTAAGTGGTAACCAGCTTGGTCCCACTGGTAACATGAACAGTAACAGTGGCGGAAGCACTGTATGCGATTCTGCTGCTGCCAGTGGTTCAAAAGGGGGGAAGGTGAAGCAGCGCAAGAAGCTGTTTAACCGATCAAGATCTGACATGGGAGCATCACAGGACCTCACACGGTCCGGACTGAGGGCATGGAAAGCCAAAGGAGGAAGAGGAGAGCGAGAGGGGGGAGGGGGAGGAGGTGTAGGGGGATTTCGGCCTTTGGACATTGGTGGTGCTGGTGGTGCTGCTGCTGGTGGTGTTCCTTATTCCCTCTCCACCTCTGTCCTTACTCCAACTCTCTCCACCTCTTCCACTGTCTCCCCTTCCCGAGAATCGCCTGCTGTTGCTGTTCGTCCTGACCTTCATCCCCCCGCTACCACCAGATTCGCCGCCAGCAGCAGCACCAGCAGCAGCAGAGGCGGCCAATCAACGAACAATCTATTTGAACCTGCTAGCCAATCACCTGAATCACCACCTGAAATATCACCTGAACCACAACCTTCCCACCAGCAGCACCAGCACCAGCACCAGCACCACCAGCAGCAGCAGCAGCAGCAGCAGCAGCAACAGAACCGCCTTGCCACCCCGGACCTCTTCGCTCATCGTTCCCCCCCTCCCCTGCCCCCTCACGCTCCCCTCTCCGGTTCCTCTTCTCCCCTGCACACCTCTGCACCTTTGGCGGAAACCCCTTCCCTTCCCGGCACGGGGTTGAGTTCGATAGTGATAGTGACGGGGAGGACTGGATATCAGGCGCGAGCTGGACAAGGGTACGCGTAACAGGGAGAAAGAGCGAGGGGGGGGGGAGAGGTGAAAGAAGAGGAGGGTGGGAGGAGGAAGAGGAGGGGGAAGGTCACAAGAGCCAGGGGCTGGGAGGGAAGTTACGGAGAAGGAAAGGATCTCTTTCGGCGATTGACATTTCAGAACCTCAGTTGCAATCCACTACTGTGGCCCCCTCGCTGCTTATCGGCCGCAGTAAGAGCTACACTGACGCTGTGCCAGCTGCACCTTTTAGCGAGACGAGTGATGTAGAGGGTACAGCGGACGATCACAGCACACATGGGGCGACGGGACGTGCAGCGGAAGGGAAAACGCAATCGACTTGGCTGCTTTCGTTAGAAGCAGGAGAAGCAGGAGAAGCAGAGGAAACAGGGGAGAACGTTCGAGCTCTAACCCCGTTGTCCCCTCTCCTTCCGGCTTCTGGCTTCACAAGCACAACGCCCTCCACTCGTAACACTTTCAGCAGCAGTAACACGTATGGTAGCAGTACCAGCTCTGGCAGCAGTAGCAGAGTGGTAACCGGTAACACCAATGACGGCAACACACTGACCCGCGGGAAAACTCTAGGGAGCAACAGCAGCAGCAGCAGCAGCAGCAAGAAGCGGTTTTCTGGCCCGTTGAAGCAGCACAGGCGAATGGCATCAGCAGCAGACGTAGAGCTTCACACTCGCTCCCTCTCCCAGGCCTCCATCCCTCCAACCTCCCCCTCCAATCTTTCCACCGCCCACCCCACTTCCACCCACCCTACTTCCACCTCCCACCGGTCCTTCCTCCGATCGGCTGAAGGAACACGAAAAGCCAATCGTGCTGCTTCTGCTGCTGCTGCTGCTGGTGTTGCTGCTGCTGCTGCTGCTGCTGCTGGTGCAGCTGCTGGTGTAGCTGCTGGTGTAGCCGGTGGTGTGGCTGGTGCTGCTGCTGGCGTTGCTGGTGGTGTAGCTGGTGCTGCCGCTGGTGTGGCTGGTGTGGCTGCTGGTGTGGCTGGTGGTGGTGGTGGTGGTGGGGTAACAGGAGGAGGCAAGACAGGCATGACTCATTTGCTGCTGTCTCAGCCAATAAGGCACCGTCGCAACCGCAGCAGCAGCGTTCTGCCTGCTGCCTCGCCTGGTGCCTCTGCTGCTGCTGCTGCTGCTGTTGTTGCTTCCTCTGTTGCTGTTGCTGCTCCTGCTACCTCTGCTGCCCCAGCTGCTGCTCCTTCTTTCGCTGGCGCCAACAGCCGTGCTCTTGGTCGCTCTGCCTCGCAAGCCTCTTCCAGCAGCAGAGTATCTAGTGGTTCGGTGCGGTCCAGAGGTGCAGGATCTGCTTGTAACGAGGACGGCTCTGTGCTATGCGCTGAAACGTCTCGAGAAGGTGGTGAGGGAGAGGAGGGGGATGAATGGCAGGATTGGAATGACTTTGAGGATTTTCAAATGACACTTGCTGGGGAAGAGGACGATGAGGGGGAGGAGAGTGAGAGAGGGGTGAGTGAGAGAGGGGTGAGTGAGAGAGGGGTGAGTGAGAGAGGGGTGAGTGAGAGAGGGGTGAGTGAGAGAGGGGTGAGTGAGAGAGGGGTGAGTGAGAGAGGGGTGAGTGAGAGAGGGGTGAGTGAGAGAGGGGTGAGTGAGAGAGGGGTGAGTGAGAGAGGGGTGAGTGAGAGAGGGGTGAGTGAGAGAGGGGTGAGTGAGAGAGGGGTGAGTGAGAGAGGGGTGCGTGAGGTTGGGGTGAGTGAGAGAGGGGTGAGTGTGGGAGATTCAAGTAAGAGCAGGGGCAGCAAGTGTGATTATAACGAGCTTCAGAGCAGCACTGGTGTGACTGTAGCGAGCGGTGGGGCGCAGCCCCAGAAGATGAGGAAAGCAAAGAGTGTTGGGAAGGCTTTAGATGGGATAGAGAGCGGTGGAGTAGGAAGTGGTGGAGTGGGAAGTGGTGGAGTGAGAAGCAGTGGAGTGAGAAGCGGTGGAGTGGCTGGTGAGAAGGAGGAAGATGGTATCAGTGATTGCCCTTCCTCGGCTTCTGTTCTCTCTGATGCTGCTACTAGTGCGAACGGCTTTGCATCAGGCCGAAGGGTTGTGAAGCTTAAGAAAGGAGGCAGGAGCAAGAGCAGCTCAGAGGGGTGTAGAGTGGTGACTCTAGGTGAGGAGGGGAAAGGGGTTGTAGGTAAGGAAGGGGGGAGGGAGGAGGTGGGTCAATCCAAGGCGTTCAAATAGGCTCGGGTATGGTTGAAGGGGAAGTTTCCCTGATGGTTTCGGGCAGAAGTAAAAGTGCTGTGTATCGAAGGGGCTTGGAGACAGGTGAGGGGTCGAGGAGTGGGAGGCACCGGGCATCTGAAATTCTCCAGGCTGCCCGGCGGGCAGCAAAACATGCGAACGCACTGAAGCAGGCCGAAAAAGCAGGGCAAGCAGCAGGACCAGAAGCAGCAGGAGCAGGAGCAGGAGCAGGAGCAGGAGCAGGAGCAGGAGCAGGAGCAGGAGCAGGAGCAGGAGCAGGAGCAGGAGCAGGAGCAGGAGCAGGAGCAGGAGGAGCAGAAGGATTAGAAGGAGCAGTAGGAGAAAGGAGGGTAGGAGGAGAGGGAGTCACGGATGTGAGACCGATGGACCCGTACTTGTCAGGGTTAAGCATCTTGAGTGCTTTGCGAGGAGAGGGAGCCTCGGATGTAAAAGCAGCAGCAGAAGCAGCAGGGGACGAACCAGTGAGTGAGGAAAAGCAGCAGCAGCAGCAGCAGCAGAGCTGTGCGATACTGGGTGCCTCTGAAGGGTGATGATGACGATGAGACGGGTGGGGAGGGGTGTGAGGTTGAAGAGGTGTGGGGTGAGGATGAGGAGGAGGACAGTGATGCTGCTGCCATGCCTTCAGTCGCAGCAGCAAGAACTGGTACAGTGCAGCACAGCGCAGCAAAAACCCCCACAGTGGCTTCTTCTGAGTCATCTCAGAATGGACTCGGAGCAAAAACCCCCAGGGGAAAGTGCAAGGGGAGGATTCTGAAGAATGGGGGGAAAGCTAAGCTGTCTGACAGTGCAACTGAATCTGGAGCGGTTGAACAACAGTCTTCTTCTGAATCAACAGTCTTCTCCTTAACTGATGCGGCCACATGCCACTTATCTGTTTCTACATCTTCACCGCCTCTTGCTTCTGACTCGAGCGTTCTTGCCCCGGCTGCCCGTTCACCTGAATTTTCCAAGGTCTTCCCTCCTGCTTCCCGTTCTGCCTCCTCCTACCACTCACCCCTCTCTCCCTCCTCTCCCTCCTCTCCTGCTATCCGCAAGGCACGGTCTCTTACCTCTTCTCGAGAAGGATCCTGTCAAGACCCCAGCGGTTCAGACAAAGCCATAGGCTCGGGCCTACCCTCCTCTCTCTCCTCTCCCTCTTCTCCCCCCTCTACCTTCTCTCCCTCTTCGCCCTCCTCACTCTCCGCCCACAAGGCACGCACCCTTCCCTCCTCTCTTGCTTTTTCCGAGCTGAATAGACGCATCGAGAAACGCATCGAGCTGGATTCGATCGGCGGTGAATCAGTCCTGGAAAAGAGGGTGCTGGCACGGCAAGCCTCGGAAGGAAGGGTCCTGGAAGGTGCTGGGAGGGCAGTTGGGCAGAAGCAGAGGGACGTGGAAGGAGTGGGGCTTGGAAAGGGTGTGAGTGTTGAGCCGACTCAAACAACAGGGCTTGGAAGGGGTGTGAGTGTTGAGCCGAATAAAAAAACAGGGCTTGGTAGGAGTGCGAGTGTTGCTGCTACTGCTGCTGCCGCCGCTCTTGCTACTCCTGCTGCTGCTCGTCCTGCTACTTCCTCCACAGTTTCTGCTGGAGCAGCAGTAAGAGGGAGAGGAGCAGTAGCAGCAGCAGCCACTGCCGCTGCTGGTGCATGGGCCTCGCGCCAGTCCCCATCCCCCATATTAGCTGCTGCGATGCGAGCATCAGCAACCCTGGAGCTACAGAAGCAGCAGCATCAGAGCCTGTTGAACGCCAGGAACAGCAGATTCTCATCCTCTTCCTCCTCCTTGCAGCCCTCCTCTGTCTTTGCCTCCTCTTCCTCCTCCTTTGCCTTCCCTGCACCCACCACCACTGCAACCGGTTCTCCCTCCTCTTCCTTACTTGCCTCATCTTCCTTCAATCCCTCCTCTTCTTTCCTTCACTCCTCCTCCTCCCACCTGACTGTTTCCCGATCAGCCTACTGCTCCCCTGTCGTCCGCACACCCGCTTCCCTCACACCCACAATCTCTGGAATTGGCCGGCTGTCGAGCGATCTCGGCCCTACATTTGGCTCGTCAGATCTTGCTGCTGCTGTGGCTGCTGCTGCTGCGGCTGGTGGTGGTGGGATGAGGGGGAGAAGCAGTGGCGTGGGTAAGGTCCCTTCCCCATTTGTTGCCCGTGCAGCTGCAACAATGCAGAAAGGAGCTGTGTGCCAACGGCGGTATGGTGGTGGTGGTGCTGCTGCTGCTACTGCTACAGGAGCTGGTTCTGGTGGTGTTGGTAGCGGTAATGGTGGTGTTGGTGATGCTGCTGCTGGTGGTTCTGCGGGGGACTGGGATGGAAAAGGGGAGTGGGGTTACTGCACTGGAAGCACCAACGCTGGTGCTGGAACTGCCGATTTCGACAGCAACAGCTTTGGCTACGCAGGCAGCAGCACCACCAACACCAACACCAGTAACATCACCAACTTCAATACGGCCAACAATGCCGATACCACCAGCAATACCAACGCCTACCACCAGCCGCCCACCGACGACTACGAGACGACAAACACCGCCCACACAGCGGCAGTATTTCGGCGGAAACCCATGGCAAGGAGGCCTGCAGGTGCAATTGCAGTTTCACCCACCCCTGCCCTCCAATCCCGTCAGGCCTTTGAGTCGACTCAGAAGCCTGCGGGTGCAGTTATGCTCGTTCCCACCACCAAGCCTGCAGTTGTGCGTGCAGCCACTCCTGCCCTCCAATCCCTCCAATCCCATCAATCCCTCCACACTACCGAGGTGGCTTCTGAGTCGACTCAAAAGGCATCTCTACACTCAACCACCCTCCACACTACCACCAGTCTCCACTCTCCGCGCTCCACTTCTGCTCTCCCTTCTCCCTGCTCTCCCACCACCAAGCCTGCAGTTGTGCGCGCAGCCACTCCTGCCCTCCACACTACCATCGGTCGCCACTCTCCGCGCTCCACTACTGCTCTCCCTTCTCCCGGCTCTCCCACCACTCTTCAGTCCCCCACTCTGGGTCTGCAGCAGTCCCATACTCCCCCTCGTTCCCCGTCCTCTAATGCTCATGGCATCATTAAGACTTTTGAGACGCCCCAAACCTCCAACACGCAGGGTCAACAGCAGGCCCATGCTCCCAATCACACCAAGGCCTCTAGTGCCCAAGCCAGGACCATTAGGAGTATTGAGACGTCTCAAAAGCCCTCCACCCAGGGTCAACAGCAGGCCAATGCTCCCCCTGCTTTTTCGACCTCTAATGCCCAGGAGAGTACCACCATTGCTGTCGACAAAGGAGCAGTCTCATCCTCATCCTTAAAGCCAGGGAAAAGCAGCACAACGGGTGTGAGCAGCAAAGCGAGTGGGAGCAGCACAGCGAGTGGGAACAGCAAAGCGAGCGTGAGCAGCTGCAGCACGAAAGGCAGCAAGAAGGATGGCGGCGTGAAGGACCGTCCGAGCAAAGAAAAGGTTACAAGTGGTGCAAAGAAAAAGAGCCAAGAGGAGCAAGGCCCAAAAAAGGTGGGGTCACATACGAGGGATGCCAGCTGGGCTAGTAATGGCTCTGGCACTGGGCCAAACAGCCCTCTCGTGCCCCCATTGATCCCCATTGCCAAGCCTGTTACACAGGCTGAAGTGGATTTTATCGCACGTGAGCTTTCAAATTCGTCATTGCCGTCTTCGTCGCCCGTGGCAAGGAGCGGGCTTGGTGCGGCAAAGGCGTCCCGTATACAGCCTAAAATCGTTTCAAGTGAGGCTAGACAACCCGTCAGATGACTGTGTTGAATTAGAAAAGGCATGAATGTGGACTTATCCTCTACATGTCCTCTAATGTAGTTCTATGCTTTCAATATTGGACTTGTTGGCTCATACAGTTTAAACATACAGCTACATTTGTCTTGTATCCGATGTGATTCTGCAAGTGTGCAAGTAGTCATCCTTGACCAGGGCCAAGCTGTTTTCGACGCAGTCCCAAATTATAACAGTTACAGTGGTACCTGCGACGCGCCCATTTTCATATGCTGGCAGGCAAATTTTGTTAAATGGAACTACCGCAGCTGTCGTTTTCGTTAATACGTGTGTGAAACAGTCAGCTTCACCATTTCGACAGATTCTGGCTACACATTCAATGGTAGCCGTGGAGAAATCCAACCAGCTATTGGCAGTATTTTATACTGTCGAGCTGGGTGGGACCATTCTGAGAGCTGGCGAAATTTGTTTCATCGTGAAGGCCAATGTCGACCAGAACGAAACTGTAGCTGGTTGTCCCAAGTACAGTTGTCCTCGTTTAAAGTCCGACGGAGAAACACGCCGCGCGCGGACTATATGTCAAAATGTCCGAAACCCCGGGCAAACGGGACCCTATAGTCCCAAATTCGAGAAAATTGCATGAAAAGCGGTTTTTTGTCTCTACTGGTTGTTGTTTTTTGTCATATACGTACGTATGGACCGCGCTTGCTTCAACTTCTCGTCGAACGGTTTTACGCGTTATCAGTGATGCGTGAAAAACGGGCAGAAATAAACAACATCGATTATGTTTGATGCCATAATAAGTTTGTCTTTTTGTTTTTCCTTCCTGTCAGCGAGATTACTGAGATGTCATCGTGGAGCGCGCTAGGAATCGCGCGACGGGAATAAGAAACAAGCGCGGTCAAGAGAAACAAAAAATATCAGTTGTAAATGTTTACTTCAAAACAAAACTACCTTTTTTAGCATTCTCCGTAAATGTTCAAGGCACTTATACAGTTGTTCTCGTTTAAAGTCCGACGGAGAAACACGCCGCGCGCGGACTATATGTCAAAATGTCCGAAACCCCGGGCAAACGGGACCCTATAGTCCCAAATTCGAGAAAATTGCATGAAAAGCGGTTTTTTGTCTCTACTGGTTGTTGTTTTTTGTCATATACGTACGTATGGACCGCGCTTGCTTCAACTTCTCGTCGAACGGTTTTACGCGTTATCAGTGATGCGTGAAAAACGGGCAGAAATAAACAACATCGATTATGTTTGATGCCATAATAAGTTTGTCTTTTTGTTTTTCCTTCCTGTCAGCGAGATTACTGAGATGTCATCGTGGAGCGCGCTAGGAATCGCGCGACGGGAATAAGAAACAAGCGCGGTCAAGAGAAACAAAAAATATCAGTTGTAAATGTTTACTTCAAAACAAAACTACCTTTTTTAGCATTCTCCGTAAATGTTCAAGGCACTTATACAGTTTTTCTCGTTTAAAGTCCGACGGAGAAACACGCCGCGCGCGGACTATATGTCAAAATGTCCGAAACCCCGGGCAAACGGGACCCTATAGTCCCAAATTCGAGAAAATTGCATGAAAAGCGGTTTTTTGTCTCTACTGGTTGTTGTTTTTTGTCATATACGTACGTATGGACCGCGCTTGCTTCAACTTCTCGTCGAACGGTTTTACGCGTTATCAGTGATGCGTGAAAAACGGGCAGAAATAAACAACATCGATTATGTTTGATGCCATAATAAGTTTGTCTTTTTGTTTTTCCTTCCTGTCAGCGAGATTACTGAGATGTCATCGTGGAGCGCGCTAGGAATCGCGCGACGGGAATAAGAAACAAGCGCGGTCAAGAGAAACAAAAAATATCAGTTGTAGATGTTTAGTTCAAAACAAAACTGCCCTTTTTAGCATTCTCCGTAAATGTTCAAGGCACTTATACGTGCAATGAACCTGGTCAAAAAAGGGACTGTAGAGGAGGGGCCACACCTAGGAATTAAAGGAAAAAGCTCCTCATTCTGAAAATGGGACTTTGTGAGCGCAGGACTTTATAGCGGAACCATTTGTACGTGCAATGAACCTGGTAAAAAAAGGGACTGTAGAGGAGGGGCCACACCTAGGAATTAAAGGAAAAAGCTCCTCATTCTGATATGGGACTTTGTGAGCGCAGGACTTTATAGCGGAACCATTTGTACAGTAAGCAGAGGTGTCCTACAGTTGTAAGCTGTATCCTTGAGCTTTGAGCAGGAAGCTTTGTGGACCGCAATCGGACACACGTTGCGAGATGTGTGATATTTGTCCGTTTTTTAAGAAAATGTTGCACAGTACTGCTACTGTTACTGTATGGTCCCCTTTCATCCGCTTCTTTCTTGGGGATGGCTGCATTCGGTTGGATGGAACTTCATTTGCACTAATCTGGAACTCTGAACCAAAGCTTCCGACGGCGACTTAGGGCGTGGTACTTTTTTCCAGACCAGCGGTCCGGACAACATGCGAAATTGTTCGCCCATGCTCGTATGTACTCCAATACGATGACGATCTCCGACTGTCCGGACAATCAGCGGGATACCCTCTCCCCAAGCCTCCCAAACCACATGGTTCGGAAAAAAAACACACGCCCTTATATTACGCATCTGCAGCAAACGAGATTCCCATGAATGGCACGCCATAGCACCCCATGAATCCCACGTCGTAAGGACGCGGGCACTCGCATCCATTTTGGCGATCGATTTCGGGGCAGTGTTTTATTTACGAATTTTAAACAGGTTAGGAAAGTTTTAGATATAATGGCAGGTCGTTATCTGCACGGGAAGGTCGCCGTCATGTGAAAAGAACGGTCAGGTGAATCTATGACTTGTGCTTTCTAAGCACCTGAAAATGCCGACGCTTACACTCACGTAGAATCTTGTCGGCATTGACATACCTACATTGCGGTATGATACAAGCTCACTAAGCTTTGCTTGTAGCGGCGGGACTTGACCTAACTACTGACTCGGAAACAGAGCGGAATAAGCAAGCATCGGTTTCGTTGGAAAAGCTGCATCTTGCATCTATCCACCGGCTTATCTCTGACGGTCCACGCATTCATGGGGCGAATCAGTATGTACGACTGTTAACCGCGGCTCGAGCAGGGATGGATTTCGTAGAAGTCGGGACATGCGTCCCCCACATAAATCCTTCGCTCCAGCATCGTACACTCCCGAGACTGGACTCTACAATGGCTCCTCACGCCAGCCTTAATCCAAAGCCTACCGCGTTCTCGTCTACGATATGCGAAAGCTGCTCCAAGCCACTCGATATGTCCCATCCATGGCACCACCCCCCGCTCTTCGACGAATCCGCACGATCAGATCTCGGGCTTTGTCGGTTTGTATGCACGGCACCGCCGCAGCCGCCAACGCCGCCCGCCTCCGACTGTTCACGCGCGGTACCATTCAAGAAGCACGACGCATTCCTCCAAGCGCTATCGGTGCGCGAGGAGATGGCGGCACAACGCGAACGTCGCACGCGCATTCGCGAGCTTGTTTCGAGCGACCCAGAAGCACTCTCACCGCTCACCGACCCCGTCCCGGCGGGATGCCCGGTGGCCCGCGGTTTTTTTCCGCAAACGGCGGTTTTGGCGGGGTGCGCGCGGGACGACGTGTTAGGAGTCGAAGTGCGCACCAACGTTCCGCTTGAAGCTATCGATATCGGGCTCGAGTCGCACAATCGGCGAATAGGTGACGTGTACGACGTGGTGCCGTTATTCGCGATCCCAATGGACGGAACAAACGGCCCGGGTTCGAATCTTGAAGACGCCGAGACTTTAGGTGCGCCGCTGGGGATTAAGCGGAAAGTGTGGGCAGACGACGACGACGAGAGCGAGGGAGAAGATCAACCGCTCAGCACGCGGTCAATGCCTTTGAAGGGCGGTGAAAGGGGGACGAGGGGATGGCGGAAGCAGATTGGCGGGGCGGAGTCGGAAGACGAAGGCGGAGGTGCGCGAAGGGATTCGCGCGCGCGGGCGCAGCAGTGGCGGGTGGCGGTGGTGGCGGCGGACGATGACATGGCGGCGGACCCCGCGCTGCTGCGCGATTGGTTCAACGTCTGCGGAAACACTAGGGCGCTCTCTGCGTATCTACGAAAGGGTACGCGCAGGTCGTGGGTGTGTGCATCTCGAGGGTACGCGAAGGTCGAGGTTACGCGTAGGCCGAGGGTACGCAGAGGACAAGGATATGCTATCTTGTGGTTACGAAGAGCCTCAAGCGATGCGTTCCCCGCACATCTGCCAAAATAGTCCCCTCCGGCAGATTTAATTAGCACACGCAGGTCTCGCCGTTCCGTATTCGACTCTCCTCGGCATCGCGGCCTGGCATGTCCGTCGTTGATACCCTCGTCTTTTTCGTAAGGTCTTCCCCTGCTTGTCTGTCGTTCGCACCCTTTTTCCTGAATAATTCCCATAGATGCTCCCCTTTCCGTTTTCTCATGTATACATTGCCTTTCCATCGCTGCCGTTCCCCGCTTCTCAGCAGGCCGTCGGGGCGCACCGCTGCGTTTGCGCGGCATGACGATCGGGCCGCAGGAGCGCGACGCGGCGCGCAACTTAGTGTCGAGCGCGCACTTCTCATGGATGCTGCAATACGCCGTCGACTACGCCATCTGTCGATGCGCCGCCGCCGTTGACTGCCACGTAGCGGAAGCAGCGCGGGTGTCAGAAACTGCGGAAATGGGTAACGGCACGGCAAGACTCTCTGCGGCGGGGAACGAACGGGAGAGCGCGGCCGCGGGGATGACGGGTTCCGCGGAGCAACGCTGCGCAATTCCGGCGTCCGTTTCCGCACGCTCCGCTGCGACGACCGGCGCGAGCGCGCGGAACTCCTTATCGTCTGCGCCAGAGGCTGGCAGACTGGTAGTCGGGGAAGATTACCAGCAAAGAAGCGCGAACCTGTCCGACTGCATTCCCGGATTAGACTCACCCAAGGCGGCTTCGCTTCTCTCCTACGATTCCGATCGCTCGGGTCCCCTGGTTTCCGCGCGGGACAACGCTGTATCGTCGCGAGCGAAGTCGTACAGGCGCTCTGCGACGCTGGGTGTGACGGATCTTCACCGGATTATCTCCGCGACTGGCAGCAGACGTTTGCGCGGAAACACGGGCAGCGATAAAGAGAGGAACGGGAGCAGTAAAGAAAGGGCCGATCGAGATAGTACGATAGGAGAAACTGCGAGCAAATGTAGCGAAAATCAGAGTCTGGGTTGGGGGAGCAGCGAATTAGCGAGTGATATTGGCGGGGGTATTGATACGAAGAGCTCGGAACTCGGCAGTCAGGGTTGTATCAATGTGACTGTAGAGGAAGGGCGGAGGGCAAGCACAAAGGAGTTTCCGTCTAGTTTGGGAAGTCTCGATTGTAGAACAAGCTCAAGCAGCGGCGGCAACAAGCACAGTTACAGCAGCGGAACCGCCGTTAGTGGCACAAGCAGTACGCCCACCGGCAGTTCCGATGATAGCTCGGCAAGCAGCGTTACGAACTGTAGCGGATTTCGGGACGAGGGGACTGGAAGAACTGGTTACAGCAGTCGTTACAGAGACAAAAACAGCAGAAATGAAGTGTTTATCAGTCTGAAAAATGCAGAAGGCGACATGGAAGCAGTAAAGGAGGTGGCGAGTACAGGAGGGCGGACGAATAGCAATGATGAGGCGCCAGCAGCTGGGAAACAGGAACCAATCGTGAGTGCCCGGCCAAGTGGGGATGGAAGGGTGGTAGAAGTTCCAGATAGTGGGCGGCCGACAAAAAAACAATCTGATCCGCAAAACTTCAACGTGCCTCGTCCTCTGCCTGTGCACGTAGCAGAAGTTGGAAGCAACCCGGCTGAGCCAAGCCCACGGAGATCTCGGTCGCCACTGGAAGGCATTCTCCGGCTTGTGCTGAACTCATCATGCTTCTCTTCGCGGGCGAAAGAGGGAGGAGCGGCAGAGCAGGGTGCAGTGAACGGCAGCAGGAAACGGGGTGCAGGGAGCAGCAGGGAGCACAGCGCTGCTGCGTGCTTTGGAGGGTGGCGCCAGGATTGTGTGACAGGCGATGGGACTATGGCTGATTCTGACGAGTCTGGGTTGAATTCTCGAGTTGAAGGGGGTACGGCAGCAGCACGGGTGGACGGAGGGCCACAACAACTGCAAGATTCTCCGGCTTCTCAGCTGCCCCAGGAGCCACAGAAACCCCAAGATCTTCGGGCTTCTCAGCTGCCCCAGGAGGCCCAGAAACCGCAAGAACCTCGGGATCTGTTTGATTTCCTTCGTCATCCACGGCTCACGGCCACCGTGCCAAAAGAGGGCGGGGCGTGGAATACCACCTCAGCAGCAGGAGCAGGAGGAGCAGGATCAGGAGCATCAACAGGAGCAGGAGCAGGAGCCATAGCAGGGGCAGGAGCAGCAGCAGGAGCAGGAGCAGGAGCAGGAGCAGGAGCAGGAGCAGGAGACATAGCAGGGGCAGGAGCAGCAGCAGGAGCAGCAGCAGCTTCAGCAGGAGCAGGAGCAGCAGCAGGAGGATGCGCCTTACTCCTCTAGGTCTTCCCTGCCACCCAATCTCCGTGTGGATGCATCTGGGGAAGGTGTTACCTGCGTTGGGCAGGGGCCAGCTGCGAGGCACTCGCACATGGAGAGGGATGGTTGGGAGAGGCGGCTACACCAGGAGGGCCAGGTGCTTTCCAACCCTGCTGGGAAGAAAGCGTCTCCTTCTGTTGGCTCTGCATCCGCTCCTGCTTCTCCTAGAGCAGCAATCAAGCCTGCCCTGCTGTTTCCAAGCCTCACCCCCCCTGGCCACCTTTCGCCTTCCCTGGTTGAGGGCAGTCAGGAGGGTGGCGAGGGGGTGAAAGAAGGCGTGCTGTGGGGGGAGGAGGGAAGGAAGGCTCGGGAGCATGCACAGGTTGGGGGTCTTCAGGCAATGCTGCATTGCCTGAAGAGTGGAGAGCAGCCGCAGGTGCAGCAGCAGCAGCAAAGGAGGAAGACGGGAATGGTTCGTTGTTTTTCAATGGGGCTTCCCAAATCAACGCCTTCAATGTCCCACATCTCCCGCCACGATGCCTTGAATTGGATCACCAATGCTGCAGCTGCAGTTGCTGGTGCTAGTGATCCTGCAACCGCATCTGATGTTCCTGCTGCTGATGATGCTGGTGCTGCTGCTGCCACGGCCACAGGTGCTCCTGCTTCTTCTTCTGCTGCTGCTGCTGCTGCTGCATGGGGGCTGGTTCAGCGGCAGCAGTCCAAATGAGCCCATCAGGCTCATCAGCCTCATCAGCAGTCCACACGCGGCCATTATCAGCCCACACCCAGGCAGTGGCTAATTTTGAGACGTCCCAGAGGTCTGGTTCAGCAACAGCAGTCCAGATGGGCCCATCAGCTGTATCAGACCCTTCAGCAGACCACGCACGGCCATTATCAGCCCACACGCAGGCACTTAGCTTCGGCTCCCACAAGAGCTTGAGCATGAGAGAATCACCTGTCACCACCACTCTTGCAGCCCATGGCGGTGCGACGAACAGCCGTGACCCCAAGAGGGCTCTCGGCAAGAGCTCAAGCTACGAGACCGGCAGCAGGAGTCTCAATAATGGCGGTGTGGCTAGTAGCTGTGCGCTCGGCAAGAGCTCAAGCGACGAGACAGGTTCAGGAGTCTCAAGCAGGAGTCTCAATCATGGCGGTGTGGCTAGCAGCTGTGACCCCAAGAAGGTGCTGGGGAAGAGCTCAAGCTATGAGACCGGCTCAGGAGTGTCAAGCAGGGTTGGCAGGATGTCCCTTGAGTTGCCTCACTCTGCCGTTGGCGCTGGGGTTTTCCAAAAATTCACACACGATGGCCTGATCACCTCCATGACCCCGTATGAAGACCCGTGCACGGCAGAAGATGAAGAAAAAGTTTCGCTGCCACCCTTGCAGCCCTCTCCGTTTCTCGCAGAGATTATCTCCACTTCCCAATGTTCCTTCTCCTCTTCCCTTTCCCGTTCCCAATCATCTCTGAAACCCCCTGCTCCATCACTCACCGTTGCATCCCCTTCTTGGCAACCGCAGCCGTCGGCTAGTAGGCTGTCGCGCTCCCAGTCGTCTAACTCCGTTGCTGCAGTGACCCGCGTTTCTCCTTCTCCCCGTCTGCTGCGGTCACCATCTTCCCTCTCTGCCAGGCGGAAAGCCACGGTACCGGTTCCGAACCAGTCTTCTAACACTAGTCCCCCCGACGCCGAGCCATACAAGAAAGATGTGGCCGTGACCCGGCACGAGGAGTGTGGTGCAGGTTTGAATGATAGAGGCCGTGCGAGTTCGGGCCGTGTAAGTGAGGGGGGGAGTGGGAGCAAGAGATTGGGAGTGGGAGGGCTTTTTAATGTGGAAGAGGAGGGTGAGGAGGAGGATGGGGCGCAGGTGTTTGGGTTGTCGGGTAAAAGCAAGTCTTTGCCACATAGAAGGCGAGCTTCCTTGCCAGTGATGCCTTTACCTGCGCATGTGGAGGAGCAAGAAGTGTGGTAGAGTCATATGGAGTACTGATATTTGCACAACCAAATGTTTCAGCCCCTATGTCTATATTTGATGCAATGACAATCTTGAGGGCATGTAAAATTGACTACAGTGTAAGCTTTGCGGGGCCAATGCACTTGTCGGGAAATTTTGGTGTGGTGTGGAGGTGTTGGTGTGGGTGGGGCACTTTCGAACGTTACGTTGAAATTTTTAGGCTGCACTGTAAACGACAACCCCTGAAAGTGGGCTGCACTGCCACGACCATCTGGGCGGGCAGAACATCAAGCAACATTGAAAGTTTGAAGAGTCTGGTTCAGCCAGCACTGGCAAAATTTCGGGCTGCACCGCGACGTTCCCAAGGTTTTGTCAGTCACTGGCAGGCAAGGCAAGCAACCCTGAAAAGATTTTGCCGCTGAAAATGGAAGCTCGCAGGAAAGCGCGGCAAACCTGCTGCTCTACGACGTCGCTCCTGGCTTCTGGCGTGGGAGTCCCAGAACTTCGGTTGAGTGTGGCCTTTTACGGCGTTTTGCGATCTAAGGCGGTACTTTCTATAAATGGACAGGTTCTGTAGGGATTGTGAACTTGAGAACTAGTGGTTAGGACGTGGACCCATTCGTTTTTAATCGGTTCGATCAAAGGCGATCAATAACTTCTAGGAAGGTGGGAAGCCAATTTCAGGCAATCAGGGGCAATCAGCTGATGATGGCGATCAGATGATCGCTCCAACTCGTTCAACCGGCTCAAACAGCCCGATCATTCACGATCAGCCACAACCAGACCCGATCCCTTGATTGCATGTGATCGGGGGCCTGGGCGACGTATGCGAACTGTTAAACAGCTGACTAGAGGTGTCGAAATGTCTTCGCTCATACCTACGGACTAGCGAGAACTGTATGCGAAATTTCTAACTTGACATTTTGTGCTGTGCGACGTTGACGCGATACCAAGATACAATGTGTTCGATAGTCTCGCCAAAGTTGGGAAGAAACTACCAGGTAATGGTCTCACGCTGGTGATGCAGGCTCCTACACTTTTCGAGGAAAATCAGCTTTGATCGGGCGGCGCGGGAAAGGCGATCACAAGCAATTTGTTCCGATCCAAACGGATCCGATCCGTACCGATCAAAGTCGATTGGGCCCACGTCCTTAGTGTTTGGAAAGATTCTACCAAAAAGTAGTACTTCATACGATTCTATTCTTTCATACTGTCAGTTCTGAGTTCATGTCAGACATTTATCGTAATTCGCGTCTCCTAGCTTATATAGCGGCCTTCTATTTATTCGCGGCTCGCTGTAACATAGGACCCCTTGATGCACCTGTTGGGTTGGGTGTATCAAAGGCGACAGAAGCATTGCGACGCCAGAGCCCCGCATCGTAATCGACGAACCGGCAATGCGGTCAGGATTCTCACCTTCACAAGGCACCAGCCAAGTGTTAGGTGCAACACTTTTTAGCAAGTACAGATAATCTTAGTGTGTCGACACTGCCATTACTTGAGACATTTAAAAATGGTGCAAGTTGCAACACCTCGTACGAATACAGGTTCTTTCAGGATGTCGGCATTTGAGGACTGCTAAGACGATTTTTGAGGCGCCTCAAAAATCGTCTAAATTCTTTCAGGATGTCGGCATTTGAGGAATGCTAAGACAATTGAGACTAACAAAACTTTTATGCTCTTAAAGGAGGCACTGCCAGCTATAGTGTCTCAGGAGGTACAACTACATTTAACGTGTCAGCATTCTGCACGTGTTCCCGCGACGAGTATGTTTTGGAGCCGCGATTTAAGCATGCGGACTCGCCCTTTCCCTGCGCTACTCATAGTATCATTTAACGTGGTCCTCGTCGCCGCTATATTGGCCTGCTCCGCCGCGCGCTCCTGCGCGCAAGTGCAAACGCCGTCGACGGAAGAGTCCGGTCGCGGCTTGCCTTCCGTCCCCGTTACAAGCTCACCACGGTGGCCGCGTAGAACGCTGCTTGCTGACTCCAGCGGGAACAGTAGCAGCTCGAGCAATGGCGGGAGCAGCAGCAGCGCTAGCGGAAATAGCAGCGGGAACAGCAGCAGCGGAAGCAGCAGCAGCGACACGGTTGTGGTTGTAGCGCTGGTGGTGGCTCTTGTGGTGTCCGTGCTTGTATCGATGGGTGCTACAGTGGTCGCGTGCATGCTGTGGAAGCGACTGCCGCCCAGACGGCCTGGAGAATCTTCAGGTGTGCTGGGAAAATGAAACGGCTGTGGTTCTAGTAAATATGTAAATGTATTTGATTATTGAAAAGCAAACTCCGGTTAGGTTATTTCTCAAGGGGATAAGACCCTCCAAACTCCCGCTTTCCTACCGTTCTCCTCCCCTTCCTCCCCCTCTCTGAAGGAGGAAGAGCGTAGGGAATAAAAAGGTTGCAATCCAGGTTCCCCTTCCCCGCCACCCTTTTCCCAATATTTACAACCCGATTTCCTCTCACGCCTTCCCCCCATTCCCCCATCCCCCATCCCGCGTTTCCCCCATCCTCGCTCCCCCATCCCCCCATCCCATAATCCGCCGCTTTGGCTTCCCCGTCTCCCCTCTTCCCGCCCTTTTTCGCGTGTCCCCCATCCCCAGGCACCCAAGGTGCAGCGGTGACCTCTTCTGTGGCTCCGGAGGAAGAGACGGTGCTGAGGGCGCAGGGGGCGCGGAGGGTGCTGAGGGCGCAGGGGGCGCGGAGGGTGCTGAGGGCGCACAGCGCAGAGTCGAACTTTCCCCCTTTACCATGCTCAAACCCCTTCTCCTCCACCCCTCATCCCCAGGCGCCTCAGGTGCGGCGGTGACCTGTGGCTCCGGTGGGCCAGAGGGCGCAGAGGCTATGCTGCGGACTTGCACTTTCCCCCCTTTCCCATCCTCACCCCCTCCTCCACCTCCCCCAACAACAACCCCCATCCACAGGCTCCTCAGGGGTCGCAGTGACCTCCTCTATGGCTCCGGAGGAGGAGATGGCTCTGTGGGTCCTGAGGGAGCAGGGGCTATGACGAATAGTTCAACCTTCCCCCGCGTTTCCCATCCTCACCCCCGCTTTCCCCCCCCCCTTTCCCCCCCCCCCGAACTCAACCTAACCGCCCCACCCCCCGGGCCCCCCTTCTCTCCCCCCCCTCCCCGCGATCCGTCATCCCCCAGGCGCCTCAGGTGCTGCAGTGACCTCTTCTGTGGCTCCAGAGGAGGAGATGGCGCTGAGGGCGGAGGGGGCGCTCAGGGCGCTAAGGGCGCGAACTCGAACTACCCCCCTACACCATCCTCAAACCCTTTTTTCTTCCCCACCCGCTTTCCCCGATCCTTCATCCCCCAGGCTCCTCAGCTGCAGCCGTGACCTCCTCTGTGGCTCCAGAGGAGGAGATGGGCCAGAGGGCGCAGGGGGAGGGTGGAGGGGGAGGAAGAGGGGGCGGAGAAAATGGGGGGAAGGGGAAGGGGAAGGAGGCAGCATCAACGAGCGAGGCGGGTAGAAGAAGAGCGAGAGGGGGGAGGGTGGGGAGTGGAGAGGTTGGGGAGAGGGATGGGATGGGGCAAGAAGATGAGAGGAGGGGGGAAGAGGAGGAAGGGGAGGAGGAGGATAGACGGCAGCAGCTGCGGCGGCTGAAAAAGGAGGAGCAGCAGAGGCAAGAGCAGCAGGAGGAGGAGCGTGCAAAGGCAGAGCAGCAGCAGCACCTGCAGCAGCAGGTCCGGCCCGAGCCTGACGATCCAGGTTCGGGCGGAGGCACGGGGACGTTTGACATCCAAAAGGTGGTCAGCTTCCCCCTGAATGTCCTCGTAGTCGCCACAAATACTTTCGCCTCGGGCAACCATCTCGGGCAGGGTACCTACGGTATGGTGTATAAAGCGAAATTACCCTCGGGGGACGTGGTAGCGGTGAAAAGAGCCAAGGCGGACAGGAAGCAGGACGCGGGGAAATTCAGAAAAGAGATTGAGCTGCTGTCGCGGGTCAGCCATAAGAACCTGGTGCGGCTGGTGGGGTACTGCCGGGAGGGAGGGGAGCAGCTTCTGGTGTACGAGTATGTGGCGGGAGGGAACCTGTCACAGAACCTCAACCCGACCTGGAGAGAACGTGAGTAAGAAATGTCTTCCGGGTCCTGGGTGCTTGGTGCGCTCGTATGGCAGAGAGTATGTGCCCTTTTCGTATGGAATGCACCCGGAACGTGAGTATGGAATGTCTCGTGGGTCCTGGGTGGGTGCTTGGTGCTGGTGGGTGCTTGGTGTGCTCGTATGGCAGTGAGTATGGCAGTGAGTATGGCAGAGAGTATGGCAGTGAGTATGGCAGTGAGTATGGCAGTGAGTATGGCAGTGAGTATGGCAGAGAGTTCGTGCCCTTTTCCCTCTCCCTTCCATGCTCATTGCCCTTCTCCCTCCCTCTCCCTTTAAACCTCTCCCCACCCCTCTCCCCACCCACCATTCTCCTCCCTTTCTCCCATCCCCTCTCCTATTCCCCACTCCTCTTCCTCCATCTCTCTTTTCCCACTCCTCAGGCCACAGCCGGCCCCCTCTGAACTGGACAGAGCAGTTACTCATAGCAGCGGGCACAGCGAGGGGACTAGCGTATCTACACAAGGAGATCAACGTGCCATTCATCCACCGGGACGTGAAGCCCAGCAACATCATGATCGACCGGCCCCTCTTGTCTCGTCCCTAACCACCCCCTACTCGGTTCCCTCCTTCATACCCCACTCCCCCTCCGTTGCCGTTCCCTTCCCCCTCCGTTGCCGTTCCCTTCCCCCTCCGTTGCCGTTCCCTTCCCCCTCCGTTGCCGTTCCCTTCCCCCTCCGTTGCCGTTCCCTTCCCCCTCCGTTGCCGTTCCCTTCCCCCTCCGTTGCCGTTCCCTTCCCCCTCCGTTGCCGTTCCCTTCCCCCTCCGTTGCCGTTCCCTTCCCCCTCCGTTGCCGTTCCCTTCCCCCTCCGTTGCCGTTCCCTTCCCCCTCCGTTGCCGTTCCCTTCCCCCTCCGTTGCCGTTCCCTTCCCCCTCCGTTGCCGTTCCCTTCCCCCTCCGTTGCCGTTCCCTCTCTCCTCCCCTCTTCCTTTCCCAACCCCACAGGCCATAGCCGCCCACCTTTGAACTGGACAGAGCGCCTACTGATAGCAGCGGGCACGGCACGTGGATTGGCTTATCTACACGAGGAGATCAACGTGCCATTCATCCACCGGGACGTGAAGCCCAGCAACATCATGATCGACCGCCATGTGGTGGCCAAGATTGCTGACTTTGGGACAACAAAGCCCATGACTCCGGAAGAGCTGCGGAAGCTATCAGTCACCATCCAGGGCACCGCTGTGAGTGCTTGTTGTGAATGTTTGGCTCAGTGCTTGCGTGCGTTCGCTGTGCGTGTTGCCGATTTCAGAACTTTCAGGCAGGCCCATGACGCCCCAGGAACTGAAGAAGCTGTCAGTCACCATCCAGGGCACCGCTGTGAGTGTTCACCATGCTCCCATCCTCCCGAGCCTCTCCCATTCTCCGTGTCTCATTCTCTATGTCTCTCCCACTCCCCCCCCATCTCCCAGCTGTGGCCCCGACCACCAGCGCACGGGGCATCCACAGACTCCTATCCCCACAGTGGCGCTGCCCTTACCTCACACCCCCCCTTCAACCCCCCAGGGCTACTGCGACCCGGACTATCCGCGCATGGGGCACTTTTTAAAGCGCATCGACGTTTCACCAGTGCGCGGGGCAACCCCAGGCTCCGTACCCAGCTGCCCATACCCCCACCGTACCGTCTCCCCTCTCTCTACCTACCAGGGATACTGCGACCCCGACTGATTATCTGCGCACGGGGCACTCCTCCAAGCGCATCGACATGCCCTCCCCTGTCGCCTTATCTCGTTCTCCCGCCCCTTGTGCCCTTTCTCCCACCCTCCAAACCCCCAACCCCCCACTTGTATGAAGATTTGTTTTGAGACGTCTCAAAACAAATCTTCATACACGTGGTTAATCTCCATACACGTGGTTAATCTTCACACACGTGGTTAATCTTCAATCACGTGGTTAATCTTCATACACGTGGCTCCCCTGTCGTCGTATCTCGTTCGCCCGCCCCTTGTGCTCTTTCTCCCACCCTCCAAACCCCCAACCCCCCACTTGTATGAAGATTTGTTTTGAGACGTCTCAAAACAAATCTTCATACACGTGGTTAATCTCCATACACGTGGTTAATCTTCACACACGTGGTTAATCTTCAATCACGTGGTTAATCTTCATACACGTGGCTCCCCTGTCGCCGTATCTCGTTCGCCCGCCCCTTGTGCCCTTTCTCCCACCCTCCAAACCCCCAACCCCCCACTTGTATGAAGATTTGTTTTGAGACGTCTCAAAACAAATCTTCATACACGTGGTTAATCTCCATACACGTGGTTAATCTTCACACACGAGGTTAATCTTCAATCACGTGGTTAATCTTCATACACGTGGCTCCCCTGTCGCCGTATCTCGTTCGCCCGCCCCTTGTGCTCTTTCTCCCACCCTCCAAGCCCCCATCCCCCCACTCCCCCCTCTCTCCCCCCCCCCAGGGCTACTGCGACCCGGACTGATTATCAGCGCATGGGGCACTCCCTATCCTGTACCTTCATCCCTTCCCATGCTGCCCCTCCAAGCCCCCATCCCCCCACTCCCCCCTCTCTCCCCCCCCCCAGGGCTACTGCGACCCGGACTATCTGCGCACCGGGCACTCGTCCAAGCGCATCGACGTGTACTCGCTCGGCATCGTGCTGCTAGAGCTGCTCACTGGCAAGGGGCCACACAAAGTCAACCGCCCCTACCGCTTCGACGTAAGAGACAAGGCCACACCACACCACACCACACCACACTTCACCACATCACACCACACCAAACTTCACCACATCATACCGCAGGGCATGTACTCACTCAGCATCGTGCTGCTCGAACTGCTCACCGGCAAGAGCCCTCACAAAGTCAACCGCCCCTTCCGATTCGATGTGAGAGACAAGGCGGGCTGGGAGAATTGGGGGGCAGTAGCTTGGGTGGGCAGCATCCTTCAGAAAGCCTTGGGGGCAAGGGCTCACATCTTGCCACACCACATGGCATCGCTCGGCATGAGCGACGTGTACTCGCTCGGCATCGTGCTGCTCGAACTGCTCACCGGCAAGAGCCCTCACAAAGTCAACCGCCCCTTCCGATTCGATGTGAGAGACAAGGCGGGCTGGGAGAATTGGGGGGAAGTAGCTTGGGTGGGCAGCATCCTTCAGAAAGCCTTGGGGGCAAGGGCTCACATCTTGCCACACCACATGGCATCGCTCGGCATGAGCGACGTGTACTCGCTCGGCATCGTGCTGCTCGAACTGCTCACCGGCAAGAGCCCTCACAAAGTCAACCGCCCCTTCCGATTCGATGTGAGAGACAAGGCGGGCTGGGAGAATTGGGGGGAAGTAGCTTGGGTGGGCAGCATCCTTCAGAAAGCCTTGGGGGCAAGGGCTCACATCTTGCCACACCACATGGCATCGCTCGGCATGAGCGACGTGTACTCGCTCGGCATCGTGCTGCTCGAACTGCTCACCGGCAAGAGCCCTCACAAAGTCAACCGCCCCTTCCGATTCGATGTGAGAGACAAGGCGGGCTGGGAGAATTGGGTGGAAGTAGCTTGGGTGGGCAGCATCCTTCAGAAAGCCTTGGGGGTAAGGGCTCACATCTTGCCACACCACATGGCATCGCTCGGCATGAGCGACGTGTACTCGCTCGGCATCGTGCTGCTCGAACTGCTCACCGGCAAGAGCCCTCACAAAGTCCACCGCCCCTGCTTTGACGTGAGACAAAGACCGGGCTTGGGGGGCTGGAAGGGGGCTGGGTGGGGAGGAGTGAGTGGGAGTGGAAGTAGTGTTTGGGGGAAAGTGGGGGGGGAGGGGGGGGGGGGGGGGGGGGGAGCAATGTTTCAGGGGAGTGAGTGGGTGAGATCGGGCTCCTCAATGCGTTGTGGAGCACTGCACGTAGTGCAGCTCATCTGCACGTGGTGCAGCTCATCTGCCGCACGTGTGCTCGATCTCGCTCTGCTCTGCACCGCAATCAACCACTTCAAGCGCCCCCGTATCACTTTCTCCCGCTCACTCCCCCCACCTACCCTACCCTCACCAGGTGAAGTAAAGGTTCGACAAAGGAGGCCTGCCGGCCATAGTGGATCCCACCATGGGCCTTTACCCTGCAGACGAGCTGCACTGCAGTCAACCGCTTTAAACACCTGTAAACTGCTCTTCCCCACCCACCCTCACCAGGTGAAGGAAAGGTTCGACAAAGGAGGCCTGCCAGCCATAGTGGATCCCACCATGGGCCTTTACCCTGCAGACGAGCTGCACTGCAGTCAACCGCTTTAAACACCTGTAAACTGCTCTTCTCCACCCACCCTCACCAGGTGAAGGAAAGGTTCGACAAAGGAGGCCTGCCAGCCATAGTGGATCCCACCATGGGCCTTACCATGCAGACGAGCTGCACTGCAGTCAACCGCTTTAAACACCTGTAAACTGCTCTTCTCCACCCACCCTCACCAGGTGAAGGAAAGGTTTGACAAAGGAGGCCTGCCAGCCATAGTGGATCCCACCATGGGCCTTTACCCTGCAGACGAGCTGCACTGCAGTCAACCGCTTTAAACACCTGTAAACTGCTCTTCCCCACCCACCCTCACCAGGTGAAGGAAAGGTTCGACAAAGGAGGCCTGCCAGCCATAGTGGATCCCACCATGGGCCTTTACCCTGCAGACGAGCTGTACCACGTGTTTGACCTTGCTCTACGCTGCACCGACATACAGAACCCCGCCGCCCGCCCCTCCATGTCCCGAGTTGTGGCTGAGCTTGAGGCTGTTCTCGAGCCTGAGACCATTTCCCGCTTCGTTTCCTCCGGACCTCCCTCCCACGGCTCGGCGGACTTCCATACCGCTCCGTCAGGCTTGGGGCCTGGTCCGGGTGCAGTGGGGCAGTCGCGGTTCGCCGGAGCGGGGAAGCAGGCGGGACAGGGTGGTGGAGAGGGAGGGGCAGGTTCGGCGGCGGCAGGCTCGGGGGTAGCAGGTCTGGCAGTGGGAGGTACGGCAGGTGCAGCATTGGCTGCAGCAATCAATTCTGCCTCTCCCTCCCGTGCTGATGCTGGTGGTTCCCCTCTCAACCCAGACCCCCCGAACCCTCCTAACCGCTCTCAACCGCAACCGCAACCTTCGCCTCCTTCTGATGCTCCTCCTCCTCTTCCCTCGAAAAGAACACCTGGACCCCTGGCATATAAAGGCAGAGCAGCAGGGGCAGCAGGAACAGCAGCAGGGGCTGCTGAAATTACTGGAGGGGATATCCGGAGGGAGAGAGAGTATGATGGATCAGCACTTCAAGCCTTTGCTGGGAATTATGGTGCTGGTTTGCAAATGCAACCTGCACCAACTGCTGCCTTTCGAGGGGTATCAGCAGTTGCTGGGGGAGGTGCACCTGGAGCAGGTGTTACTGTAGCAGGTGGGGCTGGTGGGAATGCAGGTGGAATCTCTGGTGGCAGTGGTGTTGCTGCTCCTCTTGGTCCTTCTGGTCAAGGATACAGAGCGGGAGAGAGATATGGTGAGGGAGGCGGAGGAGGTGGAGGCGAGATGGGTGGAGAGCGGTATGAGGAGGTAATGATGGATGCGTCTTTTGATTCTAGCGGGTTTGATCGCAGCGGGGTGTTCAGTTATGGGGCCATGCCGCCGGCTTAGGCTGGGGTATTGTAGAAGGTTGGTTGGTGTAGAGAGGATTGTGGATGTAAGGTAGTGCATTTGTTTGCTGTGTTGTTTTGTGTAGTTTAACATTGGGTATCGTTCTTAGCGGGGAAAACGCGAAGGTTTGACTGGTAGAAAGCCCATGTCCAGGACAGGCCTGTCGATTCAAGGGCATATGCCCTTAATGCCCTGAACATTAAGGGCTAGTTTCGCTCCAGCTCCAATGCGTCAAGTTTTAGATTCGCACCCCACCCGTGCCACTAAGTGCTTCGTTCGACCCTTCCCCGGATGCGTTAAGGGACGAAACCAGGCCTTCCCCTTTATCTAAGTTTTGGTTTCCGACCGTACGACCCCCCCCTCCCCCAAGACTGCCAGATGTTGGAAACAATAAAACTTAAGCGCTTCAGTCGTGTCGAAAACACCGCATCAGAAGCGAGGCAAACTACACCGAAGCACCCGCGAGTCAACCCTCGGGGGTTGAAGAGGTTGCTGGAGGTTACGCGAAAGTCAAAGGTCAGCGATCTTTGACCCGACAAGTACAGCGCGACAGTTAAGGACATACAACTGACTCGCTATAGAGCAGTTGCCCGAGTCGTACTGTATCGAACCGCAACAGCAACAGCAAAAGCAGTTATAACTGTATCCCTTGATATTTCCTACATTATTATATATTCTTGTACTCTCTTGTTATAATCAATCTACTTTGCCCTCACATACTAGCGCAAGGTGGTTCACAATTTCTTCACTGAAAGCTTCCGCTATTACAATTGTCCTATCCAGAGTTCTCCCCTGAAAAGATCCTAAGGGGCTATCTCAGCCCAACATGGTATGAGAGCAGTCAGGGGAAATTCTACCACTTCCAAATCAAAGACATTACAAGACATGGCAACAAACAAGGAGAGGAGCTCTTCTAATGGCTCCCCGGGCACTACTCCTACACCACCTCCTGCCTCTGGCCTGCAGACAGAGGAAGGCACGGCAACAAGACCTAGGGGAACGTCCACCGAGACTCTCACAAATCGCCCCACGGGCTTTGACCAGAGCATGATGGAGAAGTTTTTCTCCTTCATGATGGAGCAGCACCAGCAGTCGGGACCTGCACAGACACACAACAGCAACAACGGAGTGACGCCCATGAGCCTTGATGGGTCGTCATACGCGCGCGGAAATCAACAGCAGCAACCTACCTTCGCCCCGTACGAACGCGGGTCAATCAGCTTCATGCCGCAGTCTTCGCCTGCACAAGACAAATCACTGGACGCGTTACAAGTACAGTCGCAGTTCGTGTCAAACTATATGTGCTGCATATTGTCTAGGCTGTAGTGGGGTAGCCCATATGGGGTACAACCTAGTTAGGGTTTACTACTTGTACTCCTGCATCCTGTTAGTTCACTCATTCCTGCTGCTAGATAATAACATGGTTTCAGAGCACTAAGGTCCGTAGGACCGTTTTTTTTTTCGGGCCCACCTACCGCTGCGGTTACCGCGCTACCCCACGTAGCCTTGCCTTGCCTTGTATGCCTTGCCTTGCCTTGCCTTGCCTGCGCGCTGCCCCTAGAGGCCCGTAAGGCCCGCGCGCCGCCTCTACACGCCTGTCGGGCCCGCACACACGCTGCTACCGCGCGCTGCCCGCACCGAGATCGCGCAGCCCGCCCCGAGTCGCGCGCAGCCCGCTGCAGCCACGCGCAGCCCGCACCGAGCCGCGCGCAGCCCGCTGCAGCCGCGCGCAGCCTGCACCGAGCCGCGCACAGCCCGCTGCAACCGCGCGCAGCCCGCACCGAGCCGCGCGCAGCTCGCAGCTGCCGCGCGCAGCCCGCGCCGAGCCCGCGCAGCCCGCGTCGAGCCGCGCGCGGCCTGCTACGGCCTCGCGCAGCCCGCGCGCGGCCCGCAGCAGCTCGTGCCGAGCCGCGCGAGGCCTGCTCCTGCCTCGCACGGCCCGCGCGCGGCCCGCAACAGCCCGCGCCGAGCCGCGCGCGGCCCGCTACTCCCTAGCGCGGCCGCGCGCGGCCCTTTGCCTCGGCCCCGACCTGCCGCTGATGCGGCCCCGCCCAGCAGCTGCCATGGCCCCGACCTGCCGCTGATGCGGCCCCGCCCTGCAGCTGCCACGACCCCGACCTGCCGCTGACGCGGCCCCACCCTGCTACTGCCGCTGACGCGGCCCCGCCCTCCAGCTGTTTCGGCCCTGCTCTGCAGCCGGTTTTGCGGCCCCGACGTCGCCGCTGTCGTGCGCCTACTCGAGCGCCGGCCCTGCTCTCCCAGCCTTTGGTGAGCGCCTGCCTGCCTGCCTGACGGCCTGCCTGTCTGCCTGCCTGCCTGCCGGCCTGGCTGCCTGCCTGCCTGCCGGCCTGCCTGCCTGCCTGCCTGTCTGCCTGCGTGTCTACTTGCCTGCCTGCCTGCCTGCCTACCTGCCTGCCTGTCTGCCTGCCTGCCTGCCTGCCTGCCTGCCTGCCTACCTGCCGGCCTGCCTGCCTGCCTGCCTGCCTGCTTGCTTGCCTGCCTGCCGCGCCTGCCTTGCCTGCGCTACTGCTACTGGCAGGTGGCCAGATGCAGCTCCAGCGACATTCACGCGAGCCTCTGACGCCTCAGCAGCTTAGTGAGTGGTATACTAGCTGGGGTTGTCGCGGTAGCCGTCGTAGCTGTCGCCCTGGAGCTGGTCAGTTGGGAGCGTCTGGCAGTGGCCAGCTGCAGCTGCAGGGACGTCCACGTGAGACACTTACGCCCCGGCAGCTCCAGGAGTGGTACGCTCAGTGTAGCAGGTCTACGCGTACAGTCCGCTGCCCGTACGTCATTCGCACAGGTGCTAGGACTGGTCAGCCTTGTGGGACGCTTGGTCACACACAGTCCCGCTGCTTCGCCCGTCTGAGCGACGACTGGCGCACAGTGTTTGGCGACGAGGCTGAGCTCCCCACCTGGCTGGAGCTGCATAGACAGAGGGTAGATATCTTTGCGCTTGACTATGATGCTATTCTCACTGCCATGTATGCATTGTCTACTAGTGCTGACCGTGCCTGTTGCCTGTGCGTACCGCCTGACCCTGGTGAGGCTGCTGCCCTAGGTGCTAGTGCGTCTCCTGCTCTAGGTGCTGGTGAGGCTGCTGCTCTCGGTGCTAGTACGTCTACTGCTCTAGGTACTGGTGAGGCCGTGGCATCAGGTGCTGCTGTGTCTGCTCTCTCTGGTACTGCGCCCACTGCGGTCTCGCACACCTTCACCCTTGACTCAGGAGCTTCCCGCTCCTTCTTTCGCGACTGCACCGCACTCACGCCGCTCCGTCGGCCAGTCCCGGTCTCCCTGGCGGACCCCTCTGGGGGTCCAGTCCTTGCCCACTATTCCACGGTTCTGCCGTGTCCGGCCGTCCCGTCCGGCTCGCTGTCAGGTCTTTACCTCCCCTCGTTCTCTACGAACTTGGTGAGTGGAGCTGACCTCCAGGATGGGGGGGTTGACCAGTTCACTCCTGCGAGTCAGCGAGTGACTCACTGTACGTGTGCTAGGACGGGCCGGCACTTGGCCACGTTCACCCGTGCACCTGGCTCGAGTCTGTACACACTGACCACTGAGTCCCCTCAGGTAGCTGCGTCTGCGTTTGCGTCTGCGTCTGGTCAGCTGGCGGCCCCCTGCGAGTGTCGCGCTTTGTCGCACGACACTCTCCTGTGGCACCACCGCCTTGGTCACCCCTCCTTGCCTCGCCTGCGTAGCATGCACTCTCGCTCCCTGGTCTCTGGTCTTCCCAGGTCCCTGCCTGCCCTCCCTCCCTCGCCTGCGCCGCCCTGCATTCCTTGCGTCGAGGGGCGGCAGCGCGCCGCTCCTCACTCCTCCTCGTTTCCTCCCACAGAGGCTCCACTGCAGACGCTCCACCTGGACGTGTGGGGCCCAGCCCGCGTCCAGGGACAGGGCCGCGAGCGGTACTTCCTGCTGGTCGTCGACGACTACACGCGTTACACCACGGTCTTCCCCTTGCAGAGCAAGGGGGACGTCCCTGCTGTTTTGATCCCCTGGATCCGCGCTGTTCGTCTCCAGCTCCGCGAGCGGTTCCGGTCGGACTTTCCTGTCCTGCGTCTGCACTCTGACAGAGGTGGTGAGTTCTCCTCCGACCTCTTGGCAGCCTACTGTGCGGAGCACGGCATCACCCAGTCGTTCACGCTTCCGGCCTCTCCGCAGCAGAATGGGGTTGCTGAGCGCCGCATTGGCTTAGTCATGGAGGTCGCTCGTACCTCCATGATCCATGCGGCTGCCCCCCATTTTCTGTGGCCGTTTGCGGTCCGGTACGCCGCGCATCAGCTCAACCTCTGGCCCCGTGTCTCCTTGCCGGAGACCTCGCCCACACTGCTGTGGACGGGGAAGGTTGGCGATGCGTCGCGTTTCCGGGTCTGGGGTGCTCGTGCCTTTGTCCGCGATACCACCGCGGACAAGCTCTCCGTCCGCGCTGTTCCCTGTGTCTTCCTTGGCTTTGTCCCTGACGCGCCTGGTTGGCAGTTTTACCACCCCACCTCGCGCCGTGTCTTTGCGTCTCAGGACGTCACGTTCGACGAGTCGGTTCCCTTTTACCGTCTCTTCCCCTACCGCACTGCCTCGCTCCCCCCCCCGCCGCTCTTCCTTGCTCCAGGTGCTCCCCAGGTAGACCCCCTCCCCGCTCCCGGTCCTGCTCCTTCAGGTGTTTCTCAGGTAGACCCTCCTCCCTTGACTGCGCCGGTTGAGGTCACTGGTGACTCAGGTCCTCCTGCGAGTGGTCCTGCTCGGGGTGCTGAGCCTGGGGGTGCGGAGCCTGGGGGTGCTGAGTCTGGGGGTACTGAGCCTGAGGGTGCGGAGCTTGAGGGTGTAGAGCCTGGTGGTGCTGAGCCTGCGTGTGAGGGGTCTGGGGGTGCTGAGCTTGGCGGTACTGACGCTGGAGGTTCTGGAGCTACTGAGGGTGCTGGCGCTGGAGGTTCAGGAGCTGCTGGAGGGCCTAGTCCTGGTGGCGCTGGAGCTGGAGGTCCTGGAGCTGTTGAGGGTGCTCGCGCTGG